TGTAGGCGAAAGGCAGCCAGCAGTTTTCCTTCTACATTTTTTTGTTGTTCTTGTTTTTTATTTTCCTCAGGTGAGGGAAGGGAGCGCGGGGGCTGCACTTCCACTTCCGGCGCACTGTCAGTCAGTCAGTGCATCCTTGGCTGTATGTGTGTGTGTGTTTGAATTTGAGCCTGTTTTGCGCTTTCCCGCTTTCCACTTGACTCGGCTCCTCTGACTCTTGCTCTTTCGACGCCTTCTCAAAGTTTTAGCACCGCAACTTCAATTGACCTTTGCTTTTCCCACCGCCCACAGACCACCACCCACTTGCCGCCCATCCATTTCCCATTTTCCCCTTCCCTCTCCTGAGTTCATCTTCACCCAGTGACTTTCTTTCGTTTTAAGTTATTCACCAACACGTACGCTTTAACGTCATCGTCATGCCTCCGCCATCAACATGATTTCCTCGCCCGCTTTTCGCTTTTCCAACTCCCCCTGCCCCGCTCCTAATTTCCCCCGTCCACCTTCAGTGGGTTTATCCCCCCACGTCGGCAGTTATGCCCTCCTCAACTCTTTGAGCCTGGGCTGGCTAATTGTCCTTATGTGACTTGGCTACGCTTATCTGGCCAACTGAGGATACGGGAGTCGGTCGTCGGTCGTCTGCTGCCCTAGTCATCCCCACCTGGCGACCTAAAGGATTTATCCTGCATCCCTTTTTCCCAACAACTTTGGTACTGGAAAAAAGAAAGCGTGGGATCTTAAAGTAACTTTTTTTGTATCTGTGAAATTCATTTGTTACAAAATGGTAGATACATTTTACTTTAAAATATAGTGATTTTATGTATCTCTTATAAATGATCCATTAGATGTATCTAAATTTATGTATATCCCATGTAAGTTCCCTTAAGACATGTTATTTCTGTAAACTGCACTTTGTTCACCTGACTTTATCCTATGAATTTGAGTATCTAATGGCTAAATGCTTTAGTATTTTCAATCGATATCCTTTGGTTTTTTCGGTGTATGCTCCATATTTTGTGTAGCATACTGCCTGGCGCATTTGGTCCTGTTTCGCCGAGGTTTCCTCTGCGCTTTCCCTGTGTCAGCGTTTATCGCTCGCCTTGGGGTCTGCTCTTTATTGTTTTTTGGCAAGGACGCTTACTTATAGACGCACACACACACACACAAGGATGCAGGTGTGCATATGCAGGCTATAAAAAGATACAGTGAAGGCACGGTAGCAGAACTCGTTTCATTCTTATCTATAGGGTTTTAGTTTCATGGGGGCAGTTTGGGTTTGCAATAGTGCTCAGGCCCTTTTTTGGGGCTTCTATCTCCGCACTCCTTCCTTCCGGTTTCAGTTCCCGTTTCGGTTTCTACCACTTACCTGTCCTTCCCTTTAATTTCCTTTCCTTTTCCCCACTTTTTCCCTTCGTTTTCCTTTCCTTTTCGCAGCTGTAAGTTAGCTTCATTTCCCTTTTTTTTGACTCGCTACTTGCAACTGCTTTTCGTATCTGTGCCAAGTGAAGCGCGCCCACGTTGCCATTTTATAGGTCAAACTTGCACTCTCTTCAGCAACTACTCTGCGTCGACTTTCCCACTGCCCCGCCCACTTTTCACTCTCTCCCACCGCCGCCCCCTTTTCCCCTTTTTCCCTATTTTCCCACAACTACGAACTGCTACTGGCTACGCAGTCTGGTTATTCAATAGTTTGGCGCTCACTAATTGCATTGCCCTAATTGCCCAAGTTACGCTTGAAATGTGCCAAAAAATGGACGTAAAGGGGAAAAAATTCAACCAGCTAACAGAATGTTTTTTTAATCCCTGCGATATCAAGTATTGAACGGCAAATTGTTAGCGAATTGGGGATTAATTCTCCATTTACTGTGTAAGGGGAGTGAGTCAGCCTTGGGGACTTTCGTTTTGTGCGGGTCCCTTTTTTTAATGGATTGTCTACAAATTTATATTTCTGTTTTCCCGAACGCTGTTATGGCAATATTTACAAATTATTTGAAGGTCTTTTTTTAATCCCATTGTTGAGATAACTAAACTAATTTATGTGTTCTCATCTTTTTTCAATTGCATAACCGTGGTTTACACATTAATCATAATATCTTTTCTTTTTTCAAATGTTTTCCTTTGTCAACATAATCCCCTAGTTTTTCCCTTCATTATATCAAAATTCTTCAGCTGTGTGCCCTCGTATTTGTGGTTTATTTTTCGCCAACATGGTTGTGGTTTTAACAAAATTTCGTAATTATACGCGCGTATTTCAACCCTCAGGGGTATGAAATTCTCTCTTTTTTTTTTACTGTTTTGCTTTTCCCTATTGTTCAGATCATATCTCGCCATAATCGCGGACGTTCAACAGACGTATCTGTGGCACGAACTCTTTCCCGCTTTTGGCAATATAAAATAAAATTCTTTGACGGTTCCCGTTTCCATTGGCATTACTCGCGCAATTTTCGCACGTGGAATTTTGCAATATTGCTGAGCACCTCAACTGACTGACTGACTGAATGAGTGACTGACTAACTGACAGCTTTGTGGGTGGATGGGTGGATGGAATGGTTGTTTGGATGGGTAGGGGATAGATGTGATGTGGGTGGGGATTGTGTGAGTTTTGAGCTGCTGGCTGCTGTTGATTAAATTCCATTGATATCGCTGGCGCTGTCATGCTGCGAACACACAACAGTAGCTTCACTCCGGACCTCCTGACTCCGTGATTTTCCGGCTGACCTCAGTTGCTGTCGCTTTTCCTCGTACTGATACTCGTTGTCATGGCCTGAAGTAATGAACATTTTAATAATTCAGCTGCTGGCATTGCTCCGTATTCCTTCTTTGTCGCCATTTTACTATCCAACCATCATCAATTCTGCTAATGCCAAGGCATAAAGTTCTCAAAAATAATTTCATAATATTGTAAATAATTAAGAGCCGCACATAAATCATGAGCAGCAGCAGCAGCCCTGTGTGCCCATCATCTCCTAGCTCATCATGAATCATGTCAGGGGCACTTAGCCATCGGCAAATCAGCTTTCGCCTCACCCACTTTATGCTGGCCACATCCGCTCGAGGAGTCTACAAAAATCTATGGCAAAGCTTTTAGTTTTTCACAATTTTGCGTTGGCCAAAACCAATATAGCATGTACCTATGTATATATATAGGATATATATTGGCCAGACGAAGCAGATTTAAATTCTCCTATTTTCCTAATGCCAACGTCACTTGATTTTGTTTTTCTCATTTCTAAATATATATTTCGATTATATTTCTTTTTTAATTGTGACGCGTTTTAATGAGCGGAAGATATATCTGTTATTTGGTTTTGCATTTATGCATATGTACATGTACGGGTTTAGTTTTAATTGCGCCTAAGAGAATTTATTGCCTTGATTTATACAAGCACTTATATTTCGTTAATTTATTTGTTTGAGATACGGAAAATGGGTCGAAATAGAGCCGTATAATCACGTGTTGCCAACAGCTTTCCCACACAGTCCATTAAATTGATATCTCATACGTGCATCCGACTTTCTGTGTATATATACATATATGTGTATACCTTCATATATACTATATATCTTTAAATCGATCGGGTCGTCCGACGTACAATTGAAATGCCTGACATAGCACAACTTCAGCGGGAACGCCAACAATTTTGACATTTTCATTGTTAATGAAAATTTAATTATGTTTTCATTGCTGCGTGTGTGCGCCAATCGAATCCAGCCGTACACACTCCGATTGTCGGACTGACGGAATACTTTTCGAACGCCGGACATTCAGTACAGAGATAAATAGCCAGCGATAAGCGAACAGCGACCAGCAGCGTTGCCCATCATCGATGAGACAGATACGGATACTTCGGATTGAGATACAAATGCCGATATGGCCAGGGAGATACCTACATGCTACTCAAACTGCTCAATATGGATCATTAAGCGCTGGTTGGGTGGCGGAGGGGGGGTCAGCAAACATGCGACGCCCAGAACATGCAAACATCATCTACAAAACCATCTACATACTTCCAAATGAAATGTTTGACGAAGGCTGCGAATGTATTCCGACTCGAACTCAAATTAGTGCATGTTGGAGTTTCCTCGATCGGAATTATAATGGGCATCTGCAGCTCATAGCAACACGTATGATTTCTAGATGCACTGGGAAAAATGTTATGGGAAAAACTTTGGTCATCTAATTGGTATTTGTTTGTATACGTGAATTTGATTGTATATGTTTTTAAAAATGTCCCTTGTATACCATTTAAAATAATATTTTAAAGATCATTAATAATTAGACAAATAATGGATCTTATCTTAAGATCAAAAACTTCTTTAGGTTGGTTTTTAATAGTTTGGTATGTTTGTATTCTTATATATGGCTTAAATTCTTGTGTATTATACAAAGATAGGGGTTTTATAGAGTTCTCGGTTGCAATACGAAAGCAAAATAAATTCGTTGTACTATAGAGATTTATTAGAAATAGCTAGAGAGGGCTTTAAGGAACTATTGTAACATTTTCCTATGTGCATTTGCCTCTCGTGTGGCCCAAAAACTTTTTCAAACCGTGTTGTTGACAAGGCAAGTTTATTGTTGCTGCTGCTGCTGTGATGTTGCCTCTGCTGCTGCTGCTGCTGCTGCTTTCCGTTGCTGCTGTTAAAATTAAACTCTCTGTGCTATTTAGTTGTCTCGCCGCCGCTTCTGAAGGTGAATTTATGGTGCACACATGGTGCCCGACTACCTCTAGTTTTCCCCGAGAGTGTGTTGGTGCGTATCTGTGAGCCTGCCTGCGCTGAGTTTTCCTCGTGTGACATATGTCGGCTGTGCCAGAAATAGATTCGTTTCGAAATGTAGGGGGCATTTCTTTAGTTTTTTTCTTCTTTTTCCCTGAGATTCAAATGTTCTCCGCTCTCGCACACTCTCTCTCTTTTGTTTTGCTGGCCATGTGGCTGATTATTTTAATGGTTTATTAATGAGCTCAACTAATTTTGTGATTAATTATGGGCTTCTTCTTTTACAGATTTCAAGTATCCGCCAGGCAGCAAGGAGCACATCAAACTGTATACATGCGTGCTACAACTAAAACAGTTGAAACCATCTCGATAGTCCCAGCCGCCGCATAAACGCCATCCAATTCGATCCGCTTCGATAAAGTCCAATCTCAGCCAGAAAAAAAAAATAGAAAACTAACCGAGCCGCTCGAACCAACGAACGGCAGCGAGAAGAACCTCTTTGGCCAGCGCGCACCCCCAATCTCCAGCAACAGCCTCAACATTCTGCCCTTCGGAGCCCCCAACTTTCGTCTGGAGACGACACCCGCAGAGATGCACAAGATCGCGGCAGCGCCGCCTCCGACGGCAGCGCCCGGCGGAGGACTGGAGACGCCCCTGGCGGCGCCCAAATACGGCACACTCATACCCAACCGCATCTTTGTGGGCGGCATCAGGTGAGTTTGACCTTTGGTCACTTAGCCCAGGGACCTTTAGAAATCTCCAGGAATTTAGTAATCATTATGGGATCATTTTTCCAGAAACACATTCCCTTTGAAATGTTTCTTGGAATATCAAAAGCTTACATTTTTGTATAGTATAGTATCGTAGAATTCTGTAGATAACTTTTTGTACTAGGACCACTTTTTTTTTTTCTTTAAAAGTAAATAAAAGGTTTGTGAGTTGTTCCCTTTGGTCACTTAGCCCAGGGACCTTTAGAAATCTATTCAAAAGAATGCTGGAATTCTGTGGATTTAGTTATCATAATGTGATAATTTTTCTAGAAACACATTCCCCTTGAAATGTTTCTTGGTACATCAATAAAATAATTAAAATGCTTTCGAACACCAAAATTCAATGAAATTTATTAAACTATTCCTACTGGGACAATTATTCTAGACCAAAATTATTTGTAAGTATTTAAAAGGCTTCTCTACAGCAAAATTCAATGAAATGATGTTAAAAATGTATACAATTAATGGTTCATACATAAGAAACCTATTAGATCAGCACAATTTCGAATGAACTTAAAGAAAACAGATTTTTCAGTACTAGTAATGTAATCCTTAGTATTATCCTTCTCGTAAGATAAATGACTTGATTTTCCAGTTTTTAAAAGCTTAAGCCTATATATATATGATTTTCTTACGGTTTCTTAAGTATTTCTAGTCTTGTATGTACGTAATAAAACCACTTTATTTATCCCTATCCCAGCGGCGATACCACCGAGGCCGATCTGACCCGCGTCTTCAGCGCCTACGGCACGGTAAAGAGCACCAAGATCATCGTGGATCGGGCTGGCGTGAGCAAGGGCTACGGATTTGTCACCTTCGAGACGGAGCAGGAGGCGCAAAGACTGCAAGCGGATGTGAGTACCACTCCTTTGACCTGTTGCTAATGTCGCCTGTTAAACGTTTACCATACAAAAAAAAAAGAAAATAAGAAACTGCCAGTATTATGATTTTCATACCGATGAAGCGATCGTGAACATCACCAACAAACTACAAACGATTGAACGAACGAACCTTATAACTCTTATAGAGCTTTTTCAATTGTCGCGTTACGAAAAGATATAAAACAAATCACACTCCAACACAACTTAAAATTGTGCTCCGATCTTTTAGGGCATTACCTGACCCATCACACACAAGTACTACTACTATGAGACGTCGGTTCCTCCTACTACTGATACTACTACTACTACTACTACTACCAACACTCCCCGCGGGGGGGTCCCACATATGAAATACCTCATATGATTGTCGCCATTGTGCGATATATGATATATGATGATCAGATGTACCGCCTTAGGTACGGACGGCACTTTGTTCTTTTATAAATTTCTTCTTATTGCGTTTTTGTTGAGTTTACGTTTCCGAGTTACGTTACATTTCCGTTGCGTTGCCATTCCGTTACGTTACATTCGATTCCGTTGCGTTCCTTATATCGTTTCATTGCCAGAAACAACAAAAACCAAAAACAACCACACATTTTTTACAACACACAATCAACACTCACCCAGTTATATAACCCACATTACTACTCTCCCCAGCGTAGGCAGCCTTACTTTTCCTTCTATATTTCTTTGATCCCACACCACCCACACACCACGTATCCAAACCTATTGATATATCGAAGTTTGCCCGTTAAGCTAAAAACAAAAAACAAAAAACCAAAATCAAATGCAAATGCAAAACAATGTTGAGTTCGTTGCACCGTTTTTAATGCTCATTTTATGCAATCAATTAAACAATTAGCGATTTTGCTCTATTGGAAAGCGGTCTCCATAGACTTTATAGACTAGACTATATAGACAATACCTTAGTGCGTTGCCTTGTTGCCTTAATTCGTTTGATCCAGTCTTGAGTTCCGTTTTTGAGTTATTCTTTCGTGTAAAGTTGCATTGTTGGCACATCTTTTCCGTTTTGCCTAATTTGCTGATTACAAATTGAAACGATTGTGTATTGCACATTTTTGCCAATTGTGGAATAATTAACGATCCAACGGCAGCAGTAACAATAATAATAATCCAATTCCAACCCCCAGCAAGTAAGTGCGCGCCGTAAAAGTTCCTGGGGATTGTTATATATATACATATATATATCTTTTGAACCCAAAGTTAGCAGTGCAATCATCTGCTCTCCAGGGCAACCCACGTTCTATCCCAACAGAACCAAACTACACTGGAAAAGCTAATAGTAAGGCAATTTAACTTTTTATTTAAGAGAGGTGTTACAAAACATGTAATATATCTTGCAATATATTATAGGTATATATTAAAAACCAAAGATTTAACTAACGATATTATAAGGTTCCTAAGTTCAGAACTAGATATTTTGATTTCTGGCCGTGTAGCTGGTTGCTACTTGTTTCCTGACTATATAAAGTCAAGATCTGGGCTAGGTTCAGTTCGGTCCATAAAAAGTTCAGCCTCCAGGTGGCTCATTACAAAATGAACTTGTCTGCCATATTTTGTTTTGGCATACTAATTGATTATAATTATTGCATAAGCACACTGGCCTGCCCGAGTGATGCAACTTTTACCCATTTCAGGGAAAATTCCCTTACCCATTTTTACTTTTTTTTTTCCACCGCTCGATTCTGATGACGATGTGATGTTCAGAGGCTGAAGCTGCTGAGGCTTCCGCCGTGCTCTGTGGCATATTAAGTGAAAAACTTTTGCCGCTCGTCATTAATATGCATTGTTGTCGTTCTGGTTGTTGTTCCAACTCTTGTTGTTGCTGACTCTACTGTTTGGTAGTGCTGCCCGAGTCTGGGACACGAGTGTCCTTGTGAAAGCAAAGGGAAAGCAGAAAGCTGAAAGCAGAGAGCATAATGCCCGGCGGCAGAACAAGGATAACAACGACCACACTCTATGCAAAAGGCAAAAGCTGAAACGGGCACGTCAACAACAATAAAAACAGGTCCTGGCAACGTTTAACCAAGTTTTATAATTTACACACACACACCACCACCAGCAACCCAAACAGAGTGTAGACAGTATAACACACATTACACTAATTAAATTTCATTTAGAAAAGTTTAGCATTTAGTTCGAGTGGTTTTTTTTTCGACCACTTGTACTCATCAAAAGTCACAGCATCCAGCAAAACTGGGGGTTACGCTTTTTGTTTAGTGTTCTCCGGTGACCACAATCCCAAAACCATATACGAGTATATATCATATCGGTCCATTCAAATCCAAAGAGACCCTTTCACCCACCCACTGCGTATACTAATTTTTGTGTATATGTGTTCTATAATGGCAAACTAATCCCTACCAAAAACCCATTGTCACCTCATACATGCATAATTACGCAACACAAATACATACATATAGATTAGAGCCAAATTTGGGTTCGGTAAAATAAACTCGAAACGCACATTTCGAATGTATGAGATTTGCCTACTTCACCAGGAGGGAAGGCTCTTCAATTTTAAATCATTTTAGAGTGTAGAGCGACCGGGCTTTGTTGTCCTTTTTGTAGGCTTGAAACAAAAGGGCACCACCGTAAAAGCCAGCCACCAAAAGGATTCTTAATTAAATTCAGCCAAGACAAGAAGTGGTTAAATGGATGATGGGAAAGTGGGGCTGTACGGAGGGGGTTTCAGGGGTTCCAGGGCCTCCTTTACGCCATACGTTTCATCTTTAGTTTACTTTCTCAACTGTTGGCCCTTTGTTAAGGCCCTTATCCTTATGTCGCTGGCCGAGGACGATGGCTCGAGGGCGGCCAACTCGAACATAAATGAAAAGAATGTTTGCCCGGCGGCGGTCAGAAAAGGATACGCGGTGGCAGCGTCGGCGGCGGCTCAGGTTTTCCGTGCCTCGTCCTCGCTTTTCTTTTCATTTCATTTTCCACATTTTCTCCGCTTTATTTTTTTTTTAACGACAAAGTAGCATCTCCTGGGCCCGCAAACATTTGCTTAGGTTAATGGTTATTACCGCTGCCAAGAGGGGTCACCACTCAACCAACCGACTCCCTCAAGGAGTCTGGGCTTATCTCTTTGTGGAGCGGTGTCCTTTTCATGCATTTCATGCGCAAATCACAAGGGTATCAGCCGGTACTAATTGGCAATTAAAGACGAGCTGGCTGCCTGCCTATCTGCCTATCAGCGTTGTTAGTTTTGCCGGAGGAAAAGGTATTAAATGTAAATTGGCTGATTTATTGGGTCGAAGAAAGATGCTAAATGCATTTTTAAAATGGGATTACTTTCAGCCAAAAGGAACTTGATGAAATGGGCTTTGTGAAAGAGGTTTATATACACACGAAGATTTAAAACTGCCCCTTTATATATATATATATTTCTCGGGCTATATTTACATCTTTAACTTGGTGTTGGTGCTATAATTGGTTTTACATTTGTATTATCGTTTGTTTTTTGTATTATATTTAATTGAATTCATTATTATTATTGTTATCCAAGTTGGCAAACACGAGTCGAGAGAAGAAACGTTACAAAAAGCAAGCTTTGTTTTCCAAATTGAATTTTGTTCTTTAAATGCTTTTGTGCCTTTTCAGTTTATATACTTTTTTAAATGAGTTTATTATTCTGGTTAATTAATTTTTTGTGTTTATGTTTGTTGATTAAAATAAACATGTTGTTGTAATTTTGTGCCGCGAAAATTGAAAATGAAAATTACGAAACAAAGAGAACAATATAAGTTGGCGATTCGATTTGCTTTTTGAAGCCAAATTAAACAACACAGCAAAAAACAGCGCAAATCTATTTATGCAACATATGTACATGACATTTTGTAATAAACCTTACTTAATTTAAACACACACACACCACCACACACCCCACAGTATAAACATTTACACCTATATATTTTATATATATATATAACTTTGGTAATGGTATTTTTTGCCTTGGCACGTGTTTCTCTCTCTCTTAGCCATGGCCGTGCCATAAAAAGCAAAAAATGAACAGAAGATTAAAAAACCAAAAAAAAAAAAAAGACACAAAATAAAACCAAAAGCGTTGCGCATTAATTTTTAACTATTTTTTGAGAACTTTTGATGCTGCTGCGTTCGATTTGAATTTGAATTTCTTCGTTCGGCTTGTGTGTTGATAATGCAATAGATTTGATATTAATGCTCCTCCATTTATGCTTTCTCCCTCTGTCTCTTTCTTCCATCTCTGTCTGGTCGAAAAAAAATACAGGGTGAGTGCGTGGTACTACGTGATCGCAAACTGAACATTGCACCGGCCATCAAAAAGCAGGTGGGTAAAACTAAATTTTTTTTAAATATTTTCCAAATAATAAAATGAATTTGTATCTTAATTCTAGCCCAACCCTCTGCAGTCAATTGTGGCCACGAACGGAGCTGTCTACTATACCACCACGCCGCCGGCACCGATCAGCAACATACCCATGGATCAGTTTGCAGCCGCTGTATATCCGCCAGGTGAGATACAGATCGTTCTGGGCGACTTCAAATCCGATAATCTATTGTAATCTATCTGCGTTGATGGGTCGTCATCGTTTCTCTAAGTTTCACTTGGTTTTGATTGACATTTGTTTTTCTTTTCTTTGTATTTCATTACTCTCTCTCTATTCGACAAAAAAAAAAAATATACACTTCATCAACACCACCAACAACTACAACCAAAAACACCAACACCATCAATTGGGAAACAATTAACCAAACCTAGTTACTGACTTTACAGCCGCTGGAGTGCCAGCCATCTACCCACCTTCAGCCATGCAATATCAGCCATTCTATCAGTACTACAGTGTGCCAATGGTGAGTGCGATCGAAAAGAGTGCAGATAAGGTCAGAATAATAGCGCGGGAGATAATGGTTTTGGTTCGATTTGAGGGCCAATATATTTGTTTACTAGTTTTTGGTTTATAGCCTTTTAAAGATAATTGTTTTGGCATCAAAGTATTTAAGTTTCATATCTATAAAATAAGTTTAGAAAAAGTTTTATCAAATTTAAAATATTTTTGGTCCTATTATAGGGTTATAAAGCGGTCAATTTATTTTTTATTAGTTTATGACTTTTACCCAAGTAAAGATAATTGTTATAGAATCAAACTATCTAAATTTCATGTTTATAACAAATTTAAAAAACATTTTTATGAAATTCTTTAAATATTTGGTCATATTGAAGGTTACCATAACTAAATAAATAATAAATTTGAGTTGCTAACTATCATCTGATTGCTGAAAAATAAAAAAATATATTAAAATCTCAGTGCTATTATTCTCACCACAACTGTACAAGCAAAAAAGACTTATATAATCATTCTTAAATTTTCCCTTGCAGAATGTACCCACCATTTGGCCTCAGAATTACCAAGGTGAGTCGCATTGAGCCAGCTTCACAGTATTTAGTATCTCTCGCTGGTCGTTTTGCCGTTTATCGTAGCCTACACATATCGGTATTTGCTTTCTTTTCTTTCATTTTTTCTTGGCGCACCACCACCACCAACTACAACAACAACAACTACTACAACCACCAAAAAATCAACCACCACAAAATAGGTTAAATCCAAAAAAAAAAAAGAAACATAAAGTAAACAAATTTTCGTAGTCGCCAATTTTTCGTTGAGAGCTGCCCTGAATAATAAAACCATACCAACAACTAAAACTACAACTGCAACGACAACTACAACTACAACAACAACAACAATCTGCGACAACAACAGCAACTACTACAAGAACAACAATACCACGCTATATGCTATATATATATGCCCCTCAACTCTGATCGAACTGCAGCAGCAGCCGCACTCTTAGTTTATAATTTTAGTTGATTACGATTATGTTAAAAAATGCCTATGATTTAATTTAATTTATGCTAAGTTTGGAGCTTTAGTTTTGGTCACACACACTAAAAAAATTAAATATGTACATGTAATGTAAATTAGTTGAATGCCATAGCAGGGGAAATACTAGCTATATTTTTCTGTATATCTTCGATTTCTTTCGATTGGTTTTCCATTTTTTTCGGTTTTGCTTGCTGTAAATAGCAGAGAATGAATGTAAATAGTAGTAGTCGGCACAATCACTTTGCTTCTATATCAATATATATTATAAAAAAATACCGATATAAACCATATAAATTCCTAGATATATGAAGTTTTTGCCAATTTTTTTTCCAAATATTTTGTAGGAATTTATCCATGTTAACTTTGAGGATGCAGCAACAGCAACAATAGTGATGCTACTACTACTACAACAACAAAAACAACAACAACAACAACAAAGCCACAACAAAAGTAAACTAAAAAGCATAAATAGAATTTATATAAACTCACCTACAACACACAGAGACAGAAATACGCACCACAGCTGCAATTTCGGAAATGTTTAGTCAAAGGAAATCATATATTGAAGGTAGAAAACAGAAGCTCTGGAAGGACACTCACCCACACCAGCAGACACGCACACACACACACACATAGGGAAAGCAAGGAAACCATTGCAAAACGCTGTAAAGTAAGCTGCTTATGTTATTAGAGATGTGGCGGTGTGCTAGTGTGAGTGATGAGTGATGGGGGATAACATTTTGGTAGAGGAAACATTTATGATGTGCAATTAGCGGTGGAACAGGGGATGGGAAAGGGGGCCTATACCATACGGAACGTTGACAAAACTGCAGTGAGTGTGTGTGTGGTAAGTCAGCAAGTGAAAGACAGAAAAATATATATGAGGCAGCAGGGGAGAACTTAAAACCATATTTAAACTATACTATATAGGAAACATCATGCTAAATACACACAACTGGATTATACAGAGGCAGCAAATGTGGAGAGCACTCACTAAAACCAATACACCGCAAGCACACACACACACACAGACGCACTCACAGGACACTCACGAACAGGACAAACACACTTATATATATGCTATATAGGGAATAACTGAGTAAAGTGCATAACACACACACACGTACATTTACTATATATGGTAGCTAAGAAAGCGGGGCAGCGATCGAAGATTAAAGACATAATATTATGCATAAATTAATTTATATACATATATACAATACATATAAAGCGTAAAGTAATTGTAACTCGTAACTGTAACTGTCCTACACAGACACATACAGCAATACAAAGCAAAAAGATGAATAAGCAAAGGAGACGACAAAGTCAAGCAGCAAAGCGAACACACACACACTAAAACACACAAGCACACGCACACTCACTCACACACGCACACACAAACGAGTCCTGAACAGAGGGTCAAGGATATTTTATAAGAACTGCCCTTAACTCTCCGATCAGAATTCGTTCGAGAAGAAAAACCTAACTTGTAAGCCAAGCAAAAGAAAACTGAACGAAATTTTAGTCTAAACGAAAATACTAAAGGGAGGACAAAGTAAAGATCATAAAATCTAGCCACATAAGCCAAGCAAAAAGTGAACTAAATACAAAAAAAAAAACAAAACAAAAACTACAATAAAGATATTCAAAATATGCTAGCTAAAAAAAAATGCGAAAAACATACACATAACTCCCGGCCAGTATAAACGGGAGGCATATATTAGAGAGACTATTAAAGGAAAGCTAAACTCAAAGCTCTAGCGACAAGGAAAATAGATAAAAAAAACTCAAGCAATACATAGACACTCATAGGTGTGTGTTACACAAGAATATATAGTTAAATATATACAAAAAGCAAGCAAACGTAAAATAATATAAATAATTTAATAAACTAATGTACAAGTGTGGAATCAAGCAAAACACAAACTCTGCGAAAATGTTGATTTTTATCAATTCTGTTTTTCTACCACTCACTTAAGATTCTGTTGTATCTATTGTTATGATGATGGCATCAAACTAATCAAAAACACGGAACGGAGAAAGCGAGATGTGTTAACCAAAATTATTTAAAGTAATGCAAAACGCGTTGGCCAACAATTTGCGGGGGCAGCCGGCGACCTGGGAGCGAATTCCATTCAAAATTGGTGCATAATTTGGCTGAAAATAATGAATACCTTAGCGGAAAATTCGAAATGAATATTTACATACATTAACGTATATGCCTTATTGAACGAAACTAAATTATTTGCCCACTAAATACTGTTATCGTATTGTGACGAACGTAATAAACCAACCCAGAGGTTTCAAAAATACCTGCTAAAAACAGATGTCGCCGAGGTCGCCCCCTAAATCCAAAACACTTGAGACTCGCTGCCGTCGCAAATGGTCAGCGCCGTGAAGTTGTTGACAAATTTTTACTAAATTGTTAAATAGTTAAATACAAAAAACATTTTTAAATCGAATTGTAACAATAATTCGAAATCACTCTTTGTTGAAACGAAGCAAAACACAAAATGTAATGAAATGGAAAGCAATAATTCACTTAGGCATGCTCTAGTTAAAAACTAAAAACTGAAATCAAGTCGAAGAAGCAACATAGAAACCACCAACCAAGAGTACTTACATGTATGTCAGTCAATAGGGATTTTATTTAGTTCGAAGGCACGGGTTCGAATCCCGGGCACACACGCCCGGGGAATCCAAATTGCTGGGCGGGGGGAAAAGTGTGGGGTAGAAATTGAAGAGACGGCCTAATTTCGAAATGAGTTCAATTCACTCTTTTTATCCAGCCATCCCAGCAATTTTATCTTCCGCAGACTAATCAGATAACGATCAGATCATAACTAATAAATCCAAGGCATAACTTAAGTATATACGTGATATTTTGAAATGCGAAAATTCATAAATAAATTGTTTAGGTTTAAAACAATATTAAATATATTATACAGATATATACATACATACATATATACATTATAAAGATAATGCCGAGGCATAATTAAAACCATAACGATTAATTAATTAAAAGTAATGAATGAACATTTTTGCTGACAAAACAAACAAAACAAAAACAAAAACCGAAGAGACGAGTAAAATGTTTGTAAACTCAATTTATTGTACGACTTGAATGAAGGAGAGCGAATAGAAGTTCTTAAGTTTTTACTGAACAGCAGCAAAGAGCAGAGAGCAGATTGTCCCATCGTAAAAATCTATTTAGTTTATATATAGTGAATATTTATATTATATATACATATATATTAAATGAACAAATGGCAAGTAACAAACAAACCAACAAAAAAGAAATAGCAATTAGAGGAAAGTAAAAGGAAAGTGAAAATTATATATATATACAATACATATATATCATAGCGCAAAGAATAATATATATTTTAATGAAGGAACATCAACTGATTAAGTGCAGCTCAACTAAGAGCACAAAAATGTTTTTAGACTAAGTACCTACCTACCTAAATGAATTCAGCAATTACATAATATACAAGAGATAGACGAGAACGCTGAAAAAACGCGCAGGCCCAGAAGGCAGATTAGTTTCTACTTCTATGGAGTCTAATTTGTATAATTATATATACGTGCATATTACGAGGATAATGCCCCATGATCATCACAAAAAAAAGAGAAAGTAAAACGAAACATATTTAACCACATACACACCCACAAACACACACACTATACTACCTATAAATATAGAAATGAGAAAGAAGAAAAGAACGCATAAATAGCAATAACAATAAAGCAACAGCTACTTAATAATTTTAGCAAAATGCAAAACACAAAAATACGAGATGAAAAAAATGAATAGCAAAATATTTGGTTTGCGTTTATTTGATTTTTTCCCCTCTTCGCTTTTCGTTTGGTTACATTATACTTGGATATTTTTACTCCGTTTATTGAATCTCGAGTGAGTTTTTTGAAACCACCACTGGCACTACTTCCCCTCTCCCTTTCCCCTCTCAGATTTGTAATTCAGGGCACCATATATATATATTTTATACAGAGAACCACTCACCAATGCTGCACCCGACGCCCACGAACCCACATCAAACGCATCCCCAGTCGCACCCACAAACGCCCTGCTGGAGTATCGAGGATCTGAGAGATACCATGCCCAGGGTATAGCTTCCGATGGATGATGGGTTATCGACGGTAGAAGTTGCAGAAGAGGGGGTTACGGCAAAGGAGACACAAAGAACTCGGGACAGAAGACCAAATTCTCCAGAAAAAATCAAAATTGGAAAATATCAAGGAGGAGTAGGGGACTGGAGAACGGGAAAAAGAATATGGTGTCTGAGGGTAGAGGACCTGAGAAGAATCGTCTCGAAGCGAATACGAACCGAAACCTTGGCCATAGGAAGTGGGATCCTGACGAAAATGGCGACGCCCCATAAAAGCCCCTCGGTTTCTAGTTACTTTCTTGTTTTTTTTTTTTAATTTCGAAACTTGCCCCATCAACCCAAAAAACCTTCACGCTTACCACCCCATCGGGGACCTCGTTATTTGTTCCCAAGTTGAGATTGTTCTATTCGTTTTTCGTTACGTTTTGTTTTCCAGTTTTTCGTTTTCGGGCAGCAAAGGGGTATGTGAGCGAATGAGCAAAATGTGAGGGCGAGTATATAGGAAAGGGCCCAGATTAGCAAGCGCGGTAACATCATCATCATCAACGTCGTTTCCCATCACATGTGACAACACCATAGCCATTCTGAAGCACAACCGAAGCATATCCTAAACTTCTTCAAAATTGGACGCCCCAAAGTGACTATACAACAGCCAATCATACGAACCGCCAAACCCGAAGCTATATCACCCGATCTGAGCTCTCGACCGACCCCCAAGCAATCCTCTTGACTGATGGACCCGCGCCTTATAAGCATAGCAATCTGAAAAAATGTTTCGGGTTCTGTTAACTCTTCAGGGCATTCCGATGAATAATATCTTCGATCCCTGTGTTCTTTTCAGTTAACCTTTCAAAATTTATCCAGTTTCATCTTTAATCTTGGTTCTTACTTGATTTTTCGGACCTAATGTATTATCCAAAATTCGTTTTAGTTTCTGTGTGTATAGAATTTATTCCAAATTATAATTGAAAGTGTTAATTTTCCGATTTAGATTCTGATTATCGCATGTCATTCCTTAAAGCTAATAAAAAAAGAACCCGAAACAAAAGCTACCCTTGGTTTATTTTCTTATCTTGTTTGGTTTCTTATATTTCCTTTTCAGTTTTTCCTGGTCAAGTGTAGCATACTTTCCAGGTGCTGCGAAATACAAAAAGCAACGAATCTTTCAGTAGCATGACAGTCGAAAAGCAAATCGTTAGGCAAACGATATGATAAAATAGTTGAATTAAACGGTTGTGTCAAATTAGCTCTAATCTCAATGTGGAAAATCAAGAAAATCGAAGGCAATTTATTAGGACTAAACTTGTCTAAACTCTAAATGTAGTTCAATTACGATTGGTTTGCTAAGCTCGCTCGTCTTTAACTCCTATCTCTCACTACCGTGTGTAAACTTTAATCTTCCCGAATGCGATCAACCAAAGTAATTATAATCTATACGAGGCATACTAAAACAAAATACACTTAGGCGATGGTTAGTATATGCGAAAATATATACATATATTGAAATGTACAAGAACAATATCTCAATGGCGTCTCAAACACAAGAAAAAAAGTATAGGCGGTAATCGGATACCAAATTATAATATTTACGAATGGGTCAGATAAGAAATGGAAAAGCCGAACATTTTTACATAAGAAAAATGCATTTTTTAACAAACGTCTACGTGTGAATTGAATAAACCTTATATGTGTATACACGCATATATTATATATACATTTTATTAAATATATATATATATATATGTATATGAGCAGCAATTTTTTATAACAAGAAGCGGCCCGAGGGGAGCGAGATGATGGATTCAAGAAAGCAGCAGAAACACCCTGCCCAGTGGGCGTTCGTGCTACGAGGCTTCACTGTGCTCCGTGTGTGCGCGTTAAAACGTTTTTTGAAGTAAAATTTAATTTACACAAGACTGACGCTAAAAAATAACTAAGAATATTAAAAGTGTACTAACCGTTTACGAATTTTTCAAATGCCACACACGGAGTGGGTGGAGGTCAGAGGTCAAGAGGCGCACGGAGGATGCAGATTGGAGAGCTTGCTGTGGGCGCCGCTTTGTATATGGTTATATTATATTGTACTTAATAAACGGAAAACCTGAGATATATATTATATATATTTATATTTACAATAAAGAAAAAAACCAAGCGTAAAACTAAAACCCAAGAACTACAAAGGCATAATTTATGAACAATTAAAAAAGAAGCGAAATGAAATTAATGGTAAATAACAAAATATACAGTGTTATTTTTATTTTTATGATATTGTACTTACATTAGTAACTAACAAACGTAACGGCGCAGCAATAATAAATAAATTAATTAGCAACCAGAACTAGGCAAAAAAAAAAAATAAAAGCAAACCCCACAAGAAAATGTGATGAATATTGTATAAAAAATAATTGAAAAGTCCCATCATCCGGAAGACACGAAAATCTGAGTTTTGGTAGATCATTATTTGGCAGAGTAGTAGAATCGCTGGATCGGACGAGCCTAAGAATACAATAAACGTGCAACGAAGTCTTTTTAGATTTATCAAGGATTAACCTTAACCACACATAGGTGCATTACGTAGTTCTCGAACCGAGGCGCATATGGCGCTTAAATGTGTTTGGATTATTGTTGTATTTAGTGATCCGTTGGGTCCTTAGCCACAATTACACCCGCATTATGATATCTGTTTTGGATCGTTGTTGTCAGCAAAAGTATCTTTTTTAAATTACGATTTCTAACATATACAGAGCAATTTCTAGAGCGAGATCTCGATGTAGAGGCAAAACATGGCAAATGGTGAAAAGCAAAACGACAACAAGAACAAAACAAAGCGGTTTTTCTATCAATGTTGAAAGCGAAATGTGTAGGAAATATTTAACCATATATACAACAAATATAAATTGTAGCTAAAATGGTTTCATGTAAACGAAATTGTTGAGTATTTTTAGTCACGAGAGAGAATCGAAGTAAACGGAAACAACAGACACCCCAAAAAAACAGATGCAGATAAAACGAAGAATTTACAAACAAATTTGCAAATTTTATGCAATTTTCTTGGATTTCCCTTTCGGTAGATTTATTAGTCGACCTTGCTTCCACAAATATTTGCACAGAATTTCGTTTATTGCCTTCTGCTGACAAAACTGTCCACTCATTTGATTTACATACCCCCTACCATTATCCTGCCTTCCGAAATGCCGAAATTCTGTTGCAAAATATATAGAAGTATTAAAATTAAATCGAAGTGCATGTTGCACATTGTGAGAATCTGTGCTGAAGCCGATGCAGGATAAATAAAAATACACTTGTAGAAAAAACGAGATACCGACGCCGCGATACAGATACCGATACACCTATGTTAAGCCAATTAAAGCGCCCAATGAATGTGCTATAAACCGAGAGATAGGATTACCAAAAAACGAAAATACATAGCAAAGATTAGCTGAAGAGTAATGAAAATACTAGACAAATTATACTTTTAGCTAAAATCAAGTGGAACTAAGAAAATGTATCCAAATTCTTCCGTAAAAGAAACACATTTCTAGCAAACAATTTACCGTACATAAGAGTCTAATATACATACACTATACTGAGCAGCATAAAAAAAAGTAGAGTCAAGGAAATACGTAAATCAGACGACACACACATATAGACACTCCCGAGAATCCAGAGAATCCAGAGAAGTTACAGATCAAGCAATTGCAGCCCACTACGGAAATGATATCAGCATGGCGAGGGGAGATTTGAGGGGGCATAGAAGGAGTACGGAGTAGGATTAGCGATAGCAGAGGGGACAATTATAGAGAAAAAACCCAACTGATCTCTACTGTGTTCTATGCTTTAGAGGGGACATACATAAGTAAAGTAAAAGTAAAAAAAGTAAATTAATTAAAGTTGAAAAACCAAAGTATTACAATTTTGAGCTGCAATATTTTTTAATCAAAAACCGAATGGAAAATGGATTTAATAAAAGTAAATTACAAAGATAATAATTAATATATATTTTTCTCTTTTGAGATAAACCAAACGAAAACTGTTTTGATGTGAATTGAGTTAGGCAACAAATAAACGAGGTCATAAAATAACATAACATATTCCAAGAAGTATCAAAACGGAAACCAAAGCTAGCTAAGAAAATGCACAAAGTTTTGTGTGTATTTTTTCGGTTTTTATTCATGTGTGTAAATCTTCCGTGTGCAAAAAAAAAAAATAAAAGATGGAAAATGAGGAATACCAGAACTACACTACACTACAAAAGCAAAGCAAGACACTAAGCCCAACTGAAATTGTCAAATATGAATTAATATATATGAGGTCTATATGAGTATATATATTTAGATAACAATTATATTATATATATACATATATATATACATACATGTGTGCAAATTATTCAGATCCATCAAAATACGATGCGGAAAGGAAAAAGTCTCTATATATATTTAGTAAAATTATAACGAAAGAAAAAATGAATACGTAGTACAACGGCAAGCGAAATAAAAAGTATAAAGCAAAACATATAAGAGAACTCAAAATTCGAGAAAACGGAAAAGCAAAAAAATGGAATAGCGTAAAAAAATAATTATTTATAAAGGCTGTAATTTTAAGTAAAAAGATCAACCCGATAAACATAAAAAGGCGCAAAAATTAAACCAAAAAAAAAAAGAAAACCAAACCAAAAATTTAACGTCAACATATTTCACCCACAAAGCAAATTAAATTAACTAAAACCAAAAGAAAAAAACTGAGAATATACTATAAAAAATAAGTAAGAACGATATCTAAAAACGAAATTATAAAGCTAAATGAAAAATTATATGAAATAATTACATACAACAAAGAAACTAAAGCATAAACATAAAACCCAAAAAAATATATATACGAGAACTCAATGTATGTAATAAATATAAAACTAAATAAATAAAATCTTAAAAAAGGAATAAACCGAAGGAATGTTTAGACTTTTTATTATAACAGATCATCTGATCATCTGAGATTTATGTCATTGCCTTTGGAGGTGATGACGCATTTTGTAGACCCCTGACAGACTTCGATCGAGAAAAACGACAAGTAGTATTTTCTTATCTATGCGCTAGAATGCATTTATTTAATCTTTGTTTGTTCTTTTTTTATATAATGCCAAGGTACATGAAAAGACGTAGCGCCAGCTTGATTTAGATTCGATTAACTCTTATTGCCTTACAGAATACTCCATTGAATAAATACAAAGGGCCCAAAAAAAATTATGTCTAATGCGACATTAGGAACATGTCAGGGTCGGAACTAGAACTATTAAAATTCTCCATTAATCCCGGATGTAGCTGCGGTTGTAGTTCTGCAGCCGGACACTTTGTGGGGCCTTTTGGCTGCGATCGAAGTTCTGCGACTTGTTGGTCTTCAACATCCGGGGATTGGGTCCGGCGGAGGTACGCCAGTAGACCGTCTGCACCGCATTCCGTCCGGCGATATAACGCGTGGTAGCGCCGATCAAGTGGTTCACCTTATTAGCCGAAGACATCTTGGGATTGAGTGTTGTTTTATGTTCGTTTTGGTATCACAGTTGGATTGCTTTCGCTATAGAGTGGGGCTCTATATTTTGGTTTTATTTTATTGGATCCGTCCGATCATTGGCGCGCTCGTTTCGTTTCTGTGGCCTCAGTTTGCTCCGGATCCGGTATTTATAGCGATGCCTTATCAGCACTTTTATACTGGCGTATGTATGGTCATTATCTTCCAAGTAGTTGGGGCTTATCAGGTGTTGCTCAAAAGGGTTGCCAATTGATTAGCCAACGACCAGGCCATTATTTGCAGGCCATGCAACCGAATGCATTGCGAAATGCGACGCACTTTCAGCCAAAGTTTGTTGTTTGTCTTTTCAAATTGTTTTGTTTACCCTCTGGGGATAGTGTCTAGACTTGTATCCGTAACCAGAAGGAGAAATTGCCTTCATTACACTTCCCAAGTGCAGCTCAAAGTCCAAAGGCTGATCTCTACAGCTGTGCTAATATTGCACAATTAAATACATACTCCTCGAGCGATGACGTAAATCGTCATTAAAAGTATGTACAGTCGGACATCTGCAGACCGATCTGACCTAATTAAAAAATGTTGACCCATTTAGTAAGGCTCCGAGCAAACTAAGATTAGTAGTTGAACTTTGTTGAACCTTATGAAATATGTTAGCAACGATTTCAGACCTGCCAGTATTTTAGAAATGTTTTAATTACCCTTAGTGGTATAATATACTTGCATTATAAAGTATCTTGAAAATATCTAAAAATATCTAAATAGTAAAATTCACAAAATCATCTTTAAAAAAAGTTAATCATACATAGTCTGAGAGAGCTGTATCTAATAGATATCATCCTAGACTATTTGCTGTCTAAAATTATCTCAGAGCAAAAGGAAAGTGTTGTAGGTCATGGGTTCTGCGTTAGAGGGGTTCATCTGTAAATGCAACGATTCCAAGACAAATTTAGCTGCCTCATGGCTGCCACGACAAGGGTCAGATTAACCTATATTAGACACATCCTCCCCGGCTGATTGTGCCTCCGGACCGGGGTCTAAGATATGCTCCATCTACTTAATTCTCGATTCTTTTGTGTAGTAATACTATCATGAGCCCTCTACGTGTGCGGCGAGCTCTTATCAGTTCATGAGTCGCCGGCAGCCTGTGAAATATTATTTTCAAAACAAAACGTCAAGCAGGCACACGGTCTATTACTGCAATCAGGCGTTGTAAAATCCGGCAGAAAGTGTGCGGGTGAAGAATCGTTAAGTATATGTCAACAATAACAAAAAAATACAATAACCTATGATCGCACACCAAGTTCAAGTGCGATTCAGTCTCAGCGGGGGCTGAGCAATATCAATTCTAGCCCTTATCTAACCCTGGCACGTTGTCTGTTAGTGCTTGAGGAACCAATGCATTCTGCTTTTGGAAAGTAAATTAATCATCGCAATCATTGGGAATATTTTACTACCAAAACTTTTCCACACAACCAGGGAGAGCTTGTTTACTTTTTTACGAGTGTGTCCAGACTTTTTAGAGTTTGCCCTAGGCTTTTTTTGGACTGATAACAAAGTGGGTCCCCATCTATGCCAAAAACCTTATCAACAAAGAAACAAGAAATTAGCAATAAAAACAAGGTAGAGCATTGTTTATAAAAATAGCAATCGCCAGACTTTTTCACTTCGGCAAGCTCTCATTCGGAGATCCCCGGTAAATCCCGTGAATTTCAAAGGCTATCGACCAGATTGTATGGCTTCGATTCCAGGGGGCCTCAACACTTTTTTATTGGGAATAAAATACCCTGATTATGGGGTTTAGCAGAAGCCCGTTGCCTAGGCCTGATAAGTATCATCTCCGCGTTTTTTCGGTAACTGCTGATAGTGTAAAAAACGAAATGCTAACAAGGCAATCAGAGCGGCAAGTGGCATTGGCTTTCGATGTGTGTGACTGTGTCACCACGGCGTATGAGTAATGTGTATATATCAATTTTGGGCAGTACATTTCCGTTGTCTACTTTTGGGGTCTGGCAATCTATAAAAAAAAGGGAAAAGAGAGCGAAAAACCCCTTATAGGGTAAGAACCGAATTAGTTCCGGCATTAGTGATACCAAAATTCCAATGAGCGGGTGGAGATCCCAGCTAATTGAATTAAGCAAACACTTAACGCCTACAACTAGCCAACGGCTAATGCCCACTTAAGTCAGCCCCGTCTCCGTCGTAATTGAATTTAATTGACAAGACGACCAATTAAAACGGAAGCAATGTGAGTTAGTTTTCGGGGAGTGCATTCGACGATCTCGGTACTGTATTGCTTAAGTAATTTATACATAAATTAACGTAATATGGCTGGAATCATTAAATACGCCGGCTGAAGATCGGCGTTTTGGCGATCCCCCTCCAGCTCACTGACCACGCCCCCAGGCAAAGCGGACGACCAGGAGAAGGGCGAAGAGGCCAAGGAGACTACCGCCCAGCTTCCCACATCCGTTGCAGACCTTGCGAATGGTCTCCGTGTAGAGACCACGGCGGGAAAGCAGATTCCTGATGCTGCGCAGTTCCTGAAAAATAAGGAAAAACAGTAAATTAATTGGTATTCCGAAAGAAATTTGAATTAAAATTATTCATCTTAAAGTTCTTATCATTTACTAGTTTATATGCAACACGTAATCAAGTAAACTTTGGTAACCTCTTGATATACAATTGTTTTCCATATAATTGCCTTATCAGTCAATACCTTTCACTAAAAATGTATTTGCAATTCAAGGAAATAAATAATAACTCGACGTTGACGCAATTAAATATATTATTTAAGTAGTTTCTCTATACTTAAAAAATATTTTCATTAAGTTTTTGTTTTTGATGGTGTTTTTTTGTTTTTGTTTTTTGCTTTTAAGTCATTAATTGATAATGTAAAGCGTAGAAAATGTATCATTACATTAATAAGAAAAACATGTTTCAGAGTTTTCGAGAAATTTTTTGGAATTCTTTCGGTCAATATTGTTATATCATCTGAACCGGTCTATAGTTAAGATAACTTATTAAATACTTTTCCAAAGTTCCAACTAAAACTTGTTAGTCCCAACCACAATATCAATGAAAATATTGAAATATAAGTAAGTTACTCACATCTGAACTTAGTCCAAGGCGATTGCGGGTAAGGACCACCGTGTAAATAGAGCTCTTTACATCGTTGCCGCAGAAGGTGAGTACCAGGTGATCGTTGACGGCTTTTACCACCTGGACGGTTCCCGTGAACTGGGTGTAAGTGTTCAGGGCGACCAAGGATCCTCGCTGATCCCCGATATTGGACCACTGACCTGGCTGAGAGGTGGTGTAGTTGAAGGTGTACTCCAGATTGCTGTCCCGCTCGCTCCACACCAAACGCAAATACTTCTGCTGGCCCTGATTGGATCTCAATGGGTACTCATCGCTTTCCTGGTATGAGGATTGAGTTGTGGTGGTGCGTCCATAGTTGTTCTGATTCCTGTTGTAGTCCTGGGGTCCATAGCCATAGCCGCGGTTTGCCTGGCTCTGACGAATCTATGATATATTTAATAAGTTTAGTGAGCTGGAAATAGGTTTTCTTAGGGTTTAGGGAAGCTCACCTGTTCGGTAACATCGGCCAGATGGATTATCACACACGAATCGTACTCGTAGGTCCCAGGAAAGTCTTGAGTATGCACGATGATCTCGCTGCCGTACCAGAGGCCCATTATCTACATATGCAGAGAGGCTGGGCATTATTACACACTCGTATGAAAGCGAATGGGGGTCATTTGTGCGATTTGCATGCCACTCGCTGTGCGTTCAATTAAATGCCCACAATGAAAAAATAAATGAGCAGGGCTCAGAGCTGTACAGCATTGACATTGGGCGCACTCTGGGCGCAAAGGGTTAATTAGAACAAATCGACCATAATTGCATTAGCCAGCAATGAGTGTTTCGTATTTAAATGAGCCTATATATAGAAGCTGGCTATATTAGAAGCTAATAGTTCCTGACTTTTTAGGATAATTTCTTGTATCTTATCCCTTTTACCTGTTCCAAATCCACAGAGTTTTGAGGATTGATGTTCATGCAGCGCAATTCAGCGTTACTTCGTTCCGTGGTGGAAAGTCCCGAACCACCGTAAAGTCCATACTGATCCACTGCCATTGAGCCCCAAAAGAGGCCGAAGATCACTAAGGAAGCCAAGGATTTGGTAAACATTTCGGAAAACTGTCCTCTTGCTACTGATAAGCCACCGAATCCGATCTGTTCCAGATGAAATCTCACAATCAACTAACAGAGAGATCCAACGTGTTGATCGCTCAGTCCGCAGACCGCACTCAGAGAGAGATGAGATACCCCTAGGAACCGCCCGAGCGCACTCTTTCGCTCAAAAAAAGCATTATTAAAAAACAACCAGTCTCGTTTTCCACACAGATAAATAAATTATATTTTCTTATGGCTTTCAGAATTTTTGAATATTAAAAATATATTTTTCAAAAACATGATAAGCTTTTCTTTTTTTGGAAGAATGATTTTCCATATTTCATGATAGAATTACAGTGTCAAATAAATAGGAAATCTGTGTCTAACGCGTATTCGATTTTTTATGTTAACAGCTTATAGATATAATAATATTTGGAGTACTCAAATTTATATAATTATGTTCTTTTCAATGACCTAGATAAATCGGTATTATGTCATTCGTCATACAATCTTTTTATAACATTTTTGTTCCCAAATTTTCTCAGTGCATTGTGGCAAATTGTTGTATTAATTAAGTTAATTGTAGCGCTTTCCAAGCCGATCATCCAATCGCGCGTGCAACGCCCGCACAATGCGAGTAAATGCGCGTAAACAGCTCGGGAACCCCGGTCTCCACGACCCCTTCTTCTCCGGAACGCCGGGTGCTCCCCTTTGACCGCTCGTTTCTGGTGTCAATTGAGTGCCTGTTCCGCTCCTCCGGTTGGGCCAATTGATCAAAAAAGTGGAACGGAGCAGCCAGGAGAAGAACTCGGTGAGAACCGAGTGAATCCAGTAGAGATCTCTCTGCTGAATGGGGGATGAGTCAAAAAACATTGCAGACTTGTGAATTAAATCATTGTCGTCGATGTTGTTTGTTGTGTGTACGATTGTTGTATTCCCGGCTAAAATTCGTCTTGTTGTTGTGCGTTTTATTAGCATTGATTATGGATTTAATATATTTTTCTGTGTGAGTAAATAAATGACGAGTACGGATTTGCAGTTGCTAATGGGTAGATGTAAGTTCACACGATTGAATAAACATTGCTGGAGTTTCTAAATATCCAATACACTCCAAGCTAAGATTTCCAACATAATATGGGTTAGATAAAGAATTTAGATCTTATACACTTGACCGGAGGGTTTCTTTTTCATTTACAGAAATTCCTTAACAAAGCTTCCAAAAAAAGTTGACTTAGGATCATCAAATTGTTCTCTATATTCTATTTACCTAACCAATTTGGTTCCTCTACTTGGGAATTTCTATATAATTTCTATATTTCTATATAATGTAAAGGTAAAATATATAATACACAAAGTTATAAAACATATTTTCTAAATAGTTTGCTTTATTTGTAAACTCACTACAAAATTCTTAAACAACAATAGTCATGTAACAAGCTGGATTAAAATGCTGGAAAATATGTTCACTTAAAAGCGTTTCAAGCTCTCATTAATTTTCTCGTAGATCCAATCGATATAGTGATTGACACGGACATAGACACCCGGCCTGTTCTTAAAGCCGCAGTGCTGACCCCACGAAATAAGGCCGTACAAAGTCTCGCCATCTGGAAATTTACATTAAAAAACAAATAGTTTATGTCTCAGAACAAATAAAACCTGTTCATACCGTCATCGGAGCAGACGAGCGGACCGCCTGAGTCACCTTCGCAAGCATCCACACTCTCATCCATGGAGCCCGCACAGAACATGCCTGAAATAATATATAGTATGGGGGTTGTTATTTCCTGCACAAACTAGTTCTGCCCATTAAATGGTTCAGTAATCATTAAATAGTATAAGTGCTACACACCTTCCGCCATGGCCGATCCATATACATTCGATTGCTTGCAGACATTATCCGCTAGAATGGGAAGCTCAGCCGATCCTAAAACTTGAGCAGGGGCTAAAGAAAAATCAAAAACAATATTATTTATTAAGGATCAGGAAACAAGAAATTATAAACCACTTACTGGACACTCCTGATTTGATAGAGCCCCAACCGGAAATGGTGCACTTGCGGTCCTGGACAAGCTCAGCCTTCTTATCGGGCAGACAAATGGGCTGGACGTAGTCACTGAACTTTAGAGGAGTCTTTAGCACTACCACTGCAATATCATTATTCATGTGGGTTCCCTTGCGGAACTCCTCGTGTATGTACCAGTTCTCAATGAACGTATCCACCTCGGAGGACTCGGCTATATTGGCATAGTGATCTCCGACGCGGACAAAGTAGGCTCCCTTAGAAGTTCCATAGAGACAGTGGGCGGCAGTGAGGAGATGGCGCTTGGAAATCACCACTGCTCCACACCAATGGCTGGAGATACCGCCACGTCCACGGATTCTCAAGGTGGCCTGCCAGGGATGACGACCTCGCTGAGCCACATTTCCCCTGACCACGCGCTCCTCTCGATGGGCATACTCATCGGTCAGGTCGTCCTTAAAGATTCCACAGCGACGGGGAGTATGCAGGGCCTTACTAGATCGCTCCCACAGGCCTATTTGAGAATAGCTTCTGGCTGCGGCTTCCTCTGCAACCGTCCTACCACCTTTAAGTTGGCTCTGGGAAAATCTTTGACTGCGAGGTGGTGGCCCAGCCGTGCAACGCAGCGCCACATCTTCGGTATGGTTGCAGTTACTTTCACCCCAGTTCCAGTGGTTACACAGATCAATGGAGGTCTCGTTTCCGAAACACATTACCTGATCTAGCCAAACGGGCCCGTTCCCAATGCCATAAATGTTTTTCTCTATTTTCTAGGGAATACAGAAAAGAGGTTATGATAACTGAATTAAAAAGGGAGGTATTGTAATACCGCTGGTCCATAGAAACCCATGGAGTTGCAGGCAACTTGGGCAGCCTTCAGGTTAAAGTCATCATCGCAAACACTGCCCCAAACGCCATGGTGCTTTACTTCCAGGCGTCCTTCGTTGGCATTGCGTCCTCCCTCCAAACGGTACTGAGGGGGAGCCTAGGAATATGATATATATTATATTATATTATAATCTAGAATTTGTGAAAACATGATTCACTCACCTGACAGATGGCTGCGCTTTCGTCCGACTTATCCGGACAGTCGTTCATATTGTCGCACACAAAGGAGGTTGGAATGCAATCCTTGGAAGATTGGCATAGCCAGTAGTTATTGGGACACTTCATCACGGGAACCTTGCAGACCACTCCCGCAACTTCATCAACTCCGCAGTTGTGCACGCCCCAACCTTTGAAGGCACAATCTTTCAGCTTGGTTTCATTGCCATGGCATTCGACCTCGTCGATTAGATAGTTAAAGTCCTGATTAGGGGGAGCATAAAAAGAGCTACCACGGACTTCTTGGGCTCCCATCTGGTAGCCAATTTCGCGGCATACGATATCAGCATCCTTAAGACCGAACTTGTCATCACACACATAGCCCCATTGGCCATTAGCTAAAGGAGGGTAATAAATAGATTAGGTATAATTGGGTATACAACGTTTTAAAAGCCACTCACCCTTGACCTCGATGCGACCCGCATGTGGGCCTTCGCCTCCTGTTAAACGCACCTCATAGTCCGAGGGCGGGCAGTTAACCTCGTCCTTTCCATTATCGCAGTTTTTCTGACCATTACAGACCTGCTCCTTCTTCAGACATTTGCCATTACCGCAATCAAAATCGCATTGATGATCGAAACTTGAACGTGACGATAGCTTTGGAGTCACTTCCTCAGCATTGGGATTGGCCAGCAGCTCATAGTCTTCATCCAGAACCTCCTGCTGTTGGTTATTGTCATCCTTTGGTGGAAAGGGATTTGGTAGCTCCGGATGACGACGATGGAAGTCGGCACTATGTTCATGGTGTTTGTGTTCATGGGGGTGGCGGTGGTGTTGGTGGTTATGGTGGGGAGAAGGATTGGGATGGTGCTCGGAGAACGGATCGGGTAGATTTGGATGACGTCGGTGATAGTCACGATTGTGACCAGACGCAAGCCAATTATTTCTGATTGTGGTTGTGGTTGGGGTTGGGGTTTTCGGGTCTAACTCCGCCCTGCGGGTGCTCCTTTGAAAGTCAGTCGAGGTGTACGTGGTACTGGGATCTAGGGTCTGCTCGGTTCGGGATATCTCCCTGGCATCTGGAAAAACATAGTCGTCGTCAACGGAATCTAGGCTTTCCTGTTCACCCGCTTTAATCAGTTCGGCGTCAGAGTCAAGGTCTGTTTTAGGTGTCGTAGAAGTAGTCGTCGTGGTCTTTTGCGTAGTTGAAGAAGTGGGAGGTTTACTAATCACAGACACTATGGCTGTTTCAGTCAGCTTGGCTTGTTTCTCTTGGGCGTTCCCACTATGATTGAAATAGGGACGCAGCATTAGCTTGAGAGCCTCTTTCATGGCCACCTGGGAGTTGGGATCAAAGCCAGATCTATCCTTACTAATAACACCAATCTGCGACTGGGGACTATAGAACTTATGATCAAAAGGAGGTGGCACCAAAGCCTGCCTCACTGTTGTGGTCGTGAAGTCATCATCGTCATAGAATGGTTCATCCATTTCAGGATTAAAGGGATCGGGATCTTGGGGTGGAGTTGTACTTGTCACAGGGACTTTTGCCCAAGAGGCATTGCGAGAATGGGCAATTCCTGCATATGAAGGACTATAGTGGGGGTTTTGGTGGGGGGTTTGATCACCAATAGGTGGATAAACGGGAAATGTGTTTAGTCGGTTAGCCAATTGCGGCGTTGGCGTCTGGGAAGCTGAAGGATTCGGTGGAGGAGTAGGTCTTGGATTAGCCGAGGGATCTGGTTTGGGAGGTAAGAGACCGCCATAAAGATTGGATTCATTATACAAAGGCAAGCCAGGGTTGGGGTTATGTCTCGGCGGATCATTCGATCCCAGAAGGCTATTGTGAGGATCTAAGGGCCTTTGCTGGTCTGGGAAATTACCTGAATCATGGTGCAAGTCAACTGGTTGCTGTCTACCAATCGGCTTTGAGTCACTGGGCAATTGATCTGGATAGAAACGGGGTGGCGATCCCGGAAGAGGTTGCAGTTCGTTATAGGGATCTTCGGGTTTTTGTTGGTCATCAAAGTCCAAGTCAATGGGCTTCTGTCCGAGCAGAGGATCTTGGGGTTGGAGTTGGTGTTGGTGTTGGGGTTCCCTGGCACCAGGAGAATGGGGTGTGTAGTCTAGATTTAATGGTTTTTGTCCACCAGTTGGAGGCGGTGGTGGCATGGGCTTCCACCCATTGCCAGGTGAACCATGATCAATTCTGCGACTATAGCCTTGTCGCGATGGAACTGTACTTTCGTGCTCTGGTTTCTTGTCCTCAACAGGCTGGCTGGGTGCCATGGGAGCCAACGGAGTATTATAGGTAGGATAATTACGGTTCGGCTGCAGTGATCCCTCCACATATATAGTGTTCTGGGAAGGTTGACGCTGAACGTAGGACGTCTCCTGGCCAGACCAGCCCGAGTTATATCCCTGATGATGATGAAGGGGGTTTTGTTCCAGTCCAACACCTGATGGTCGCTGCATGTTCATATCCGACCAGCGGTCTCCAATCACCCGGGTTGTGGTTGTCGTCCTGGTTGTATATCGGTTACCAAACTGGTCCGTGCCAGTAGTCTGATAAGATTTGGCTTGGCGATTGTCTGGAATCAGATAGAGGAAACTTAAAAAGAGCGAGACTTATATCAAATGTTAGTAACCATTAGAGGGAATAATCCAACTGGAAGATGAACCCCGAACTATATAATCGGTGCGATCGTCACTGGGAACTTGTTCATCCAGGACGCACACTCTTCGGGATACGCTGAAAATGTGGTGAGCCGGGCAGTCGTACATTTCGGCCTGGCTTGGTCCACATCGAAGGTATTTTCTGGGCAACCTAGGATGCGGCAGAGTACCAGTTATTCCCTCGGGACAAACAGTAACCGCGCCCTTAATTTTCATCCGCTGGGTCCACTCGTATATTATGTGCAATTCACTGAGCGTATACAACCGGTCTTCACGTAGCACCTGATCAACGGGCTTGCAAATTCCAAGCGAGACACTATAATGCTGTTGTCCCGGACAACTCCGTAGTTCCATCCCGTTGGAACCGCAGCTCAGGTACTTCGAACAGTCAAAGGGATACACAAAAAAGCCCAAAGAACCTCTAGGACACGCCAAAGCTGCAAGGAAGAGGTCGAGGTCAGGGATCTTTTTTAGCTGAGTTTCCTGAGTTTCATCACTCACGATTATCCTGATCGGTTTGCCTTCTTTCAAATGGGACGCGATCCGCTTTAGCGACAAGCTGCTCTGGCAAGCAGTACCCTTGAGAAACGCTGAACACATCAAGGGGCTGGCATTGCCTAGTTAACGTGTGACCTTCCAGGCAGGTCAGATAGCCAGTAGCGTCAAATGGATTCGGAAAGAGGCCACTAACCTTTTCAGGGCACATCAAAGGACTTGGTGAGGCAGAGGGCTCTGCACCCCCTGGATACTGGGGTACACCACTAATTGGTGGCCGGTAACCTTCATCGGTTGGGAAATGTGGCTGGTAATTTCCGTTTGTTTGCAAAGGTCGTTGGTAATCTCCACTACCTTGATAGGGCGGCTGGTAACTCAAATCATTAGGTGTTTGATACCTTCCAGGTGAAAAAGATTCTCCTCCAGGCGACAGTCCATTGCCCTGCTCTGGTTGCTTCTGTTCCTCATCCGCTTCCGGGCTCAATTCGTGCTGAGTGTCCCCAACATACTCCACTCGATCGTAAGGTTCGGTTATCTTATCCCGTACGACACACTTTTGCTGGGATATGCTGAATACTTCGCCTTGCTTACAGCTTCCTACATGGGTTTGTTTTGACGAGCAGATCAGATACTTTGTGCAATCGAAAGGATGTAAGTAATAGCCCTCAGCTTGCGGAGGACAAGCCAGCGTTGTAAGGTCCTGAATAGGGTCAGCTGCGAATAGGAAGGGTCACCTAGTATTCATTTTAAGGTTAAGGGTTGTAAGAAAGAGCTTACTCGAGAGTTGATCAATGTTCAAGGTATAATACACGTAATCATGGGTGGAGAGAAACTGACGGGCAACACACTGGCGTTGGGGTAAACTGTAAAAATCTGTCTGGGGACAACGCTCAATCTGCAAACGTCCATTTTGGCACTTTACAAAGAGGCCAGCGTGGAAGGGATAGGGGTAGTTCCCCTGCAGCGAGGGAGGGCAACCCCTTAGTGGGGACTGATAGACCTGAAAGTCCTGAGTGGTATGAGTTATCTCCTCCCAGAACTTGACACGATCTTCCTTTGACACCAGGCGACTTGGTCGGCAAGCTCGCTGGTACAAACTGAAGGCCATTTGCTCTCCGCAACTTTCAATAGACATCTTGCCGCCATCAGAACAACGCACATATTTGCCAGCATCGTAGGGGTAAAGATGAAGGCCGTCGGTGCCACCCGGGCAAGCAGAGAGCATCATAGCTGATGGATTTAAATGTTATAAAATAAACTTACGGGGTACGGAGTTAATGAGCCACAGACTTACTCTGCTCGATGCTTATTACAGAGACTTTATACGTCACATAGTCGCTGTAGACCAACTGGGTCTTGAGCTGACAGCTACTCCTGGATATGCTGAATACATAGCCTGGCTGGCAGCTTTGAACCGCCAGTTTACCAGACTGACACAGGAGAAACTTTGTTTGGTCGAAGGGGTGGATAAATTGACCCTGCACTCCAGATGGACACAAAAGGTCTGTGAGGTGCTCGGCAGGTGGGTAAAAGGGGTCTAAAAAGGCGGTTTATCATTAGGTCTTAGTCTAACAGACTAGCAGAGAATGGTTTGCAAAATGGTAAAACAAAACCCAAATGAAAAAGCATGTGAATAAAGCGAAGAAGTCAAGGAAATCTTCACAGTTCGACTTACTGGACGACTGTGGTGGTGGACGAGTATCCGATGGTTTTGTTGGGTACCTAGCTACTTGGTTAGTTGGTGAATCTGGATTCTGACCGGGTAAAGAGTTTCTTCCATTGCAGTCCACCTTATTGGCAAAGTCACAACTGTTAATGACAGTGCTGAAAGCAGTTCCCGGTCCACATTTCTGTACGAAAGTCTGTCCATTTGCACATTCTAAGAACTTTGTGCAATCAAATGGATGGGCGTGAAGTCCAGAGGATCCAGGTGGGCAGGTAACATTTTCACTTATATCCAAGCTCTTTTGGGAATCTGGTCCATCGATCAAATATTCAACATGATCGCTGGGACCCTTACATTGATCCTTGGGAAGGCATTTCTGATTGGAGAAGCTGAAGATTTCTCCCGGGGTGCAGCTCTCAATAAAGGTCTGCTGATTCCAGCACCTGACATATTTCGTGCAATCAAAGGGATGCAGATAGTATCCTTGGGTTTGGGGAGGACAAGTTAGAGTTGATCGGTCAAGGATAAATTCAGCTGTGAAGGAAGAAGCACTGTGAAGTCAAGTCAATCCCTAAAAAGTTTTTATAGTGAGCTTACTTGAAAATTCCGAACTGATATAGGAGTAATCCAAGTAGTCATGGGCAGTGAGAAGGTAACGGGTCACACACTGTCGCTGGGATAGGCTGTAAACCGTTCCACTAGGACAACTGACAATCTCTAATACTCCATACTGGCATTTTACATAGTGGCCAGCATGGAATGGATAGGGGTAGTTCTTCAAGACGTTGGGTGGGCATGCTCTGAGAGAAGACAGTTGGCCTTGGAGCTGACCTGACGGACTGCTTTGGGAAGTTAAAGTAGTCTGAACTTGGATTTCCTCCCAGAACTTCACACGATCGGAACTGTGCACTTGAGCACGAGGAAGACAAGACCTTTGGGATACACTGAAGGCCATCTGTGGGCCACAGCTTAGGATGGACATCTTACCACCAGGCGAGCACTGGACATACTTCTCAGCATCGTAGGGATACAAAAAGATGCCGTTGGCACTTCCAGGGCAATTACTTAATACCAATGCTAATGGAATTTTGTTATGAATGTTCAATGTTCAATAAAAAGTCAATCAACTTACAATACCCATAGGAGACTTCGGAGATAATTAAAGTCACATAGTCGTTAAAGGCCAACTGTGCTTTTAATTGACAGTAGCCTCTTGATATGCTGAACACATAGTTAGGCTGGCAGCTTTGAACCGTCACCTTACCAGTCTGACACAGGAGATACTTAGTTTGGTCGAAGGGATGGACAAATTGACCCTGCACTCCAGATGGACAGAAAAGGTCTGTGAGGTGCTCGGCAGGTGGGTAAGAGGGGTCTAAAAAGGCGGTTAAGAGTTAGGTCTTAGTCTACAAGACTAGCAGAGAATGGTTTGCAAAATGGTAAAACAAAACTCAAATGAAAAAGCAGGTGAATAAAGCGAAGATAACAAGGAAATCCTTGAGGTCCGACTTACTGGATGCCTGTGGTGGTGGACGAGTATCCGATGGTTTTGTTGAGTAGCTAGGTACTTGGTTAGTTGGTGAATCTGGATTCTGACCGGGTAGAGATTTTCTTCCACTGCAGTCCACCTTATTGGCAAAATCACAACTGTTAATGACAGTGCTGAAAGCAGTTCCCGGCCCACAATTCTGTACGAAAGTCTGTCCATTTGCACATTCCAAGAACTTTGTGCAATCAAATGGATGGGCCTGAAGTCCAGAGGACCCAGGTGGGCAGGTAATATCTTCACTTATATCCAAGCTCCTTTGAGAATCTGGTCCATCGATCAAATATTCCACATGATCGTTTGGACCCTTGCATTGATCCTTGGGAACGCATTTCTGATTGGAGAAGCTGAAGATTTCTCCCGGGGTGCAGCTCTCAATAAAGGTCTGCTGATTCCAGCACCTGACATACTTCGTGCAATCAAAGGGATGCAGATAGTATCCTTGGATTTGGGGAGGACAAGTTAGAGTTGATCGGTCAAGGATAAATTCAGCTGTGAAGGAAGAAGCACTGTGAAGTCAAGTCAATCCCTGAGAAGTTATTTTAGTGAGCTTACTTGAACCTTCAGAACTGATATATGAGTAATCCAAGTAGTCATGGGCAGTGAGAAAGTAACGGGTCACACACTGTCGCTGGGATAGGCTGTAAACCGTTCCAGAAGGACAACTGACAATGTGTAATACTCCATTCTGGCACTTCACGTAGTGGCCAGCATGGAATGGATAGGGGTAGTTCTTCTGGACACTGGATGGGCACGATCGAAGTGAAGACAACTGACCTTGAAGCTGCCCTGACTGACTGATTTGGGAAGTGAACGTAGTCTGAACTTGGATTTCCTCCCAGAACTTCACACGATCGGTACTGTGCACTTGAGCACGAGGAAGACAAGACCTTTGGGATACACTGAAGGCCATCTGTGGGCCACAGCTTAGGATGGACATCTTACCACCAGGCGAGCACTGGACATACTTTTCAGCATCATAGGGATACAAAAAGTTGCCGTTGATATTTCCAGGGCATTCATTTAAGATCAATGCTAATAAAGTTTTGTGATGAATTTTAAAGTACATCAACGCTTAGTAAACTTACAATACTCATAGGTGACTTCAGAAATAATTAAAGTCACATAGTCGCTGAAGGACAACTGTGCTTTCAGCTGGCAGTAGCCCCTCGATATGCTGAACACATAATTGGGCTGGCAGCTTTGCACAGCCACCTTACCATCCTTACAACTAAGGAACTTGGTCTGATCGAAGGGGTGAACAAACAGGCCAACTGCTCCCACTGGACATAGGAGATAGTTGACCTGAATCTCAGCAGAGGTAAAGGAGGAAGCTGTTTCAATTTAAAAGGATTATAATTATAGCAGAGTAAAAAGCCAATAAGCAAGCAAAGCATGAGCCGCATAATGTGAGATAATAAACCCAAATGTAAAAGCAGATGAACCAAGCGGGGCCAAGCAGTAAGGATAAGGATAACGAATGAAGTCAAACTTACTGGCGGTCCGAGAGGAGTCAGAAAACACACATACCAAAGTGGAGCCTTGAAAGATCATTCCCTGCGGACACTGCTCCACCTGAGGATTAACACCAATGCCGCATCGCAAGTACTTGTGCAGGTCATGGGGATGTGGTCGAAGGCCACGAAAGCCGGATGGACAACCCAAGTCGTCCAAAGGCATCGCCGGATAGCCTAACCCATGTGTTAGTTAGGGTTAATAAAGATTAATTGCTCATACGTACCGTGGCCAGAGGGTCTTTCTCCAGCTCCAGCTTTAGCTTCAGCACCAGCTCCAGTTCCACATTTGGCAATATCCTTGTGCACACAAACGAGCGATGCTACACTAAAGGCAGTTCCTGGCGCGCAGTCCATCACGAAGGCCTGACCATTGGCACAGTTCAGGAACTTGGTGCAATCCGTCGGATGCGGTTGCAATCCATTCATTCCGGCTTGACACTTCGGTTTGCTATCGAACTGGCTCAGACGTCCTAGGCGAGTTGATTCTGGTTGCGCTGAGGGGCAAACCACATTGCTGGGATGATCGCAGACCAGGGTTCTGCCATTGAACAGCGTTCCAGGTGAGCATGTCTGAATGGTGGGGCTGCCACCGTAGCAGTTCACATAGCGATGACAGTCGTGGGGATACGCAACCAGACCCGTAAAATGCGGCGGACACGGCGAATCCCGCTGATAAATGGGCTGCTGTTGGTCACTGCCGTAACTCGAGTGCCCCGCTGATAAGCCGACTGGTTCCGACTGCTCGCTCCGGTAGCCGCTGCCAGATCGATAAGCTATAACCCCGGGTCGCTGTCAAAAGCGTAATTATGAAATGTTATTGAAGAACGGAACTAATTAAGATCGGTATTTAGCTAATAGCCTATAATAAAGAACAATTTTATGCTATAAAAACTTTAAATGTACGATTGATTCTTTAGTTGCAATCCGAAATCAGGATGTTATCCTTTTTTGGACTTTGTTTCAACACAATAACTCTGTATACTAACATCCACTAGCAGGATCGCAAGCCAGAGGCCCAGGAGCCACTTGGCCATCTTCGATTTTCGTTTTATAATATTTTAAATTTAATATATTTTCTTTATTGCACCGATGCTGATAGCAACTACACAATTATGTTTCTCGAAACGCGCTTTATAATTTTCGTTGTGATCCCGTTCGACTTCCAGGCTCGACTGACTCAACCAGATCGCATTTCAATTCAATTGGACTCGGGATGAATCTCTATCTCTGCCGCCGCTGATAGATGCTCGTATGTCGCCGAGACCAATTGAGTGGACCCACTATCTGGGCTAGTAATCTCAATCTTTCTCTCGGCCTTATCACATTGTTTTGTTTGCATTTCTTTTGGGGGTTTTCACTCGTTTATTTGCTTCTGGGAAATCGAGATGATGGTGCATGATGATGATGATTTACAGTGGCGCAGTCGCATTCAAGGGTTGACTATATTTATATAAACCATAAAACAAACTCAACGTCTTACCTAAATTAGACTATGTATTTATGACTATAGGCCTGAATCATTTGGCAGCCGGCTTATCAGCCGGTGACCTTTCGACGAGTCTTAGCCTCTGCTGAATTTTTTGCCAAAGCAGATCGTATGGCTGGCTGAGTTCTGTTTGCGTCTTGGGAATTCCCACAGATCGTCGCACTTCCGGCGACAGCATCAGCAAATTTTGAGCAAGGCCAAAACTGCTAGACGCTACCCAGTAAACACATAAAGCTGAGGGCACGGTACAGGCCACTGGAACCATCACAACACTCAGGCCGCGGAACACATTGTTGGCTATGCTCTGCAATCGAGTGGGAGGACGCGTTCTGGACATGGCCTGCACTTCGATGATGGCCAAATTGATGAGTCCTAAGGTTACAGGCAGGATGTATGAGTTGTCAACCACGGTGAGATTGGGTATCCAACCGAATCCGCCAATGGTCATTTCGGTGGTCACAATTTGAGCTTCAATGGACATGGGATCCGGCAGCATGTAGACCAAGTTGCGCAGAGCCACTGATTGGAAGATCCACAGGGGAATCTGACCCCAGAGCACAATCATGGTCTTCATGGGATGACAGTTGTCCCGGACTATCAGGTTCTGCCATTGCTTCTTTATCTAAAAGGAAATGAGGATTAGGTGAGCTTCGAAACGCGGGTTTTTTTGAACAAACCGAACGCCGGTAGACGATCTGCGTCTGCTTGTCGCTCCACTTGAACTTCTGCTTGGCCATGGCCGCCTCCTTCTTCAGCTCCTCCACAATGGCGGGCATTTCCAGGGCAATCTTCTCGATCCTGGCGGTGATCTTGTGCTGGTAAATGGTCAGTGGCAGGGTGACAACGCTCCGGAAGAGGAATGTGGATAGCACGATGGATGCCCACCAGGGCAGGCCGCTGTAGTCGTGGATCTTGATGAGGACATCCTGCATGTAGGCCACTGGTGTGCTGTTGGACAAAGTCTGCCAAAAGCCCACCAATCCACCGGCATTGGCCAGTTGGACATTTGCTGCTGCGGCCGCCGCATCTGTGGAAGCCAGGCGATGATTGTACGTGCTATTGACAGTCGATAATCCTGGATAAGTGCAGTTATAGGTGCTAGCTATCCTTGGCCTACTGCAGGCTCTCAGGAGCAGCAAAGCTGACATTTAAAATAATAAATAAATATTAATAAATCGCGGTAAACAACTATAAGGAACTTGCAGAGGCTCTGTTATGCATAGCAGAACAGCTGATTGTTAACATAACCTGCTGTGATAGTGTGACCATGGCTCAATCAGACAGGATTTTAGCCAGTATTAACCCTTAAGTGATCCATGCAAATTGATAAATAATTATTCAAAGTACGTTTAAAGTACAATATGTATGACAATAAATTCTCAATTCACTAAGCCAAGCAAACTAACTTCTTCTGTAGATAACACTTGTGTAAAGTTTTTCTGATTTGACATATGTAATTGCTTTTCTTTTTTAATCAGTTTTTAATTTTTATAAAGCCTATTTAGCCTCAACTTACCTAAAATGTCTAAACATCATTTCGCTTTTTAATACATGTATTTCTTCAGAACATAAAATTAGATTCGCATTATTATTATTGCCCAAACGCTTGGCATATTGGCCACATCGCGCTGCGTTCACTCTAATTTGGCATTTTAGAACCGTGCAGCATACTCGGCTGCACTTGCAACTTTTCATTGTTTGAAACGCAATTAATATTTAATTCGAGTAATGAGTTTTAGCCAACGCCAACCAGAATGGCACACAATACCAGCGGTGGCGCTCAATCACATATTCGACTATCTGGATCCACGGGATCGTCTGAACTCAGCGAGTGTTTGTTGTTCCTGGAGACTTTCCTTCTTTCAAAAACGGTAAGTTGTGGCCTGTGCCTGTATGGGTGTGTACATACGCGTGTATGTGTGTGGGTGGCAGTGTATGTGGCTAAAATGTTTAATTTCGGTTCTTATTGGGTATATTTCCTTTGTTTTTACCCCTTATATTATATAGCAGCGGGTTAATCAAGCACAGAAGAACATCTGTGCCAGCATGGGCATTCAAAGACCCCACAATTATTGGATGTTTTGTATTCGACGCATTTGGCAGCGCTTCAATGTGTGGGGCGTTTGTTTATGTTAGTGTTGAAAAAAGGGGAAAGTCCACGATAAGAGGAATTCCCCCTGCCAATAAGTGCAATTAATTAAACTTATTGATCCGATCAGCACAATTTGTACAATCCGATCGTAACGATTGCGAAAAATACATATAATTTTATTACCTACATATATGTAGTGTTCTCTTCTGTTTCATTTCATTTATTTATAACTATATGATTTAAAATCCAAAGAATTTTGGAACTTCTATTTATTTCTTCAGAACCATATTGGAATTCTAATAAATAGTCTAAATCGCTGTTTTATAAGACAATACTTGAGCTTATCTATTATAGAAGTTTTTAATATTTTTTAAAATAGAAAAAAATATAATTAATAAATTTTCTTTTTAAACAGCTACTTTAGAAACTTCCGCTTTCATTTGGATGTGGCCCGCGATGATCAGTTGGCCTTCTTCCATCGATCCATGGCCAACTTGGCCAAGGAACTGATTGTAATCTTCGACCTTCAAAATGCATTTCACATCCAGAAAATGCGACGACTTCTATACAAGTACGCTTTCTTCGAACAAAACCCTTACAATATCATAAACTAATATCCGTTCCTCCCACAGAGTGGCACGCTGTGATAATATCCAGAAATTGCGTTTCCAAACCCACAATGTGGGCCTTGTTGCCATCGGAAATATGCACAGCGATCACTGGGCGGCCATCGAACAGTATGTACTACTTTAGATCTGTAACTTTAAAAGTTAAATAACCCAACAACGCTTACAGGTGCTTTGTAGAGCCGCTGAAGTTGCTTCTGAGCCGCAAGCGTCAGCCCTGTCAAATTTTAGACCTTGGGGCCATCGAGGCACTCTCATACTATGGCCACGACTTCCTAAAGGCCATGGGCAAGCCCCAGGAACTGCTGCAGCTGACACTGGCCAGCATCAAGTGCGATCCTAGTCACTATCCCATCCTCACACTGGACGCGACTCTGTTGCAGAAGTGCGCCGCCCTGCAGGTGCTCTCCCTGGACTACGACACCCTCTCCGACGAACTGCTGCACACCATACAAGTGCTACCGCTGCGGAAACTGCTCATCGCAGTGCACGGCCTGGACAGCGAGGAACATCCCGACGTGTCGGAGACGGCCTGGTCCAACTTCTCGGACCACTTTTCAAGCATTGAGCTGGTGCTGACCCTTGTGTACGCCTATGAGGCCATCGAACTGTTGCAGCAGCGCGTCCTGCGTATAAACATGCCGGTCACTCATGTGCGACTGCTATTCTGCGAGCAGATGAACGCCGAAGCCCTAGACTGGATGTCGGTGCACCACAGCGAAACGCTGCGCAGCATCCACTATGTGGACTCGGCGTACAAGCATTCCAACCGCATGGACTACGCTCGCCACGGCTACCTGCGCCAGGACCCATTCGTCATGATGGCCTGGCGCTGCAAGCAGCTGGAGGAGATCGTGGTGCACGGCTATTTGATGGATCCGCACAATCTCGTGGGCATCGCCCGGCTTCGGGGTCGGCAGCTAAAGCGTCTAGAGGTCTCCATGATCGACTGGTCCGGCGCTGCTTCAATGAATGCCTACAATGAGGTGAGTTACTTTAGACTTCTTTCAATATCCATGTGAATAGCAACCCTCTTTGCTTCTGCCTCAGGAAATAAGCACCCTACTGGGACAACAGTGGTCGCCCATCAACCCGGAAAAGATGCCGCCAACGCTGGCCTTCGACTACGAGTCACGCGATCAGTTCGTGTACGAAATGCTGCGCCAGGATCTCAGCCAGTAAGTGGTCGAAGTAGGGACTCACTAAAAATAACCAAAAATTGAAGCAAAGTCATCAAGTGAACGAAAGAAAAGCAAACATGACACGTGATCAACTCGAGCGCATAGAAATTAATTTAAAAATTGCAAAACCTAATTACGTAGCTAAAACTAAACCCTAAAAGAGATATGTAAGCAAAAAGCAAATTCAACCGTTATACTAAGTTATCAAAATTTATATATATGTAAACCAAACCTTTTGATTGGCAAGCATTTTATAGAAGTTAAATTTCCTAAGTTCATAGTCTTTGTAATTAAAATCGCGATTTGCCCTTGTTTGTTAGTCGAAAAGCGGGAGATTATGAGCAACAGGAATGTTAGGAGCAAAGCAAAAGACTTGAGCACTTCACAAATTTATGTAATTATGAATGTAACAACGGGGCGAAATGGGTTTGTTGAAATCTGCTAGAGAAACATCATTTTATAAGCAACAACAACTGTGATCCAAACGAAATGCAAAAGCGAGTGCAGATGCAGATGCATCTGCAAGTGCAAGCCAGTGTGAGCAAATGCGACACCAACTCTCATACAAAACAAAACAAAAAACGACAACAACAAATTGTTAAGCGAATTGTCTAGTTAGCTAAGTTTAAAAGTAACAAAAAGAAATGTGTTGAAAAATGTTTGTAAAACCAAAACTACGACCAATGTCAAATTGATTGCTCAAAACTCAATTGGCACAAATTGTTAACCTTTGTAGTAGTGTGAATAAGTATGGAATCCGGCGCTCAATTGTGATAAACCAACAAACAACAACAAAAGCAAATGTAACAACAACGAGAGCTCGATCCTCGTTCGCTAAGCGCCGCCATTTGTGTAGTTTAAAGTGATATTACCAGCAACAACCAAGCAAATTGTAAGCAAATACAAGAACACCACACAGATATATATGTATTGTAATAGCCAAAAGGAGCTAAAAGTTAGTCGTGTGTCGTGTGTGGTACATGCGTTGTGGCCAGATAAACGGGCCAGCTAGCCAGGCGATTGTAAGACCCAAAATCAACTTTTATGTATTTCGTAGCACAGGCATTAATTTATACAACTATGTACTATATTTAACCTATGTTTGCACAAAAACAGCAGCGTCTTCTCACGATCCGCGGCTCATCCTCCCCAGAGTTGCTTGCCGACCAACAAGTACAACCGCAACAATGACAACATCAACAACAACAACAACAATGGTACCTGAAGATCATGCTGAGCATTTAGATAACAACCGAACAACAACAACCACAAAGTACTTGCTCAAATCTAACAATCTAAACAAACAAAAAATCTATTGAAACAGAAGACTGAACGATAAAGAAAATCGCGACGAGGGTGTTGACTTCGTTGTCAGAGCAACGCGGAGGATGGCACTGGGTTTACTGGGACAAGCGGACGCAAACAGAATGCGATCTCAAGACAACTCTTACAACTATCCAATCGACCATCTATATTTGTATGTATCTATATATGTAACCAATGCATGTAATAATTTTTGTTATGAACTGCAATAGCGAATATTAATTTGTAAAAGCGAGTGCAATTGAAGAATGTATGTCAAAAACAGCTAAGCAGCAATTGTAACACGGCCACAGAAATATGTAAATCGAAAACAGCGTCGGGGTATGCAATAGATTCGAAATCCACGCCCTTAAATTTGTTATCAGACCTGTTTTTATGTGGCTGCACATTTAATTTAAGTCTAGTACGTACCAACACAACAACCAACACCAACAACAAATGTGATAAAAGTGTCATGCTGCTTCCAAGAACAACAGCCCGTGCAAAATGCGACCTAAGATGGTGCACGATTGAAGCAATGAAAACGCGGTAGTAAGCATTGGAAAGTCAGGGCCCGATTAATGGGGGTTATAGGTGATAAAAGCTCTGTTCTATAGCTATCTTTCATACGATAAAGTGTCCTGTACAACTTATAGTCTTCTTAATTCTTTTTGTTCCTTAGTATCTGAACCTAGATCAAAACATCTATACCTCAAAGCGCAATACAAAATTTTAGTGTCATATAGCTATAGAATAGAGCATAGTCTCTTAGATCGTTAGCTCCAATAACCAGCCTTCATTAATCGCCAAGGGTCGTCAATCAATGTATTCATTCAATTACAATCAACGTAATGAAAAAAAGTATTAAGTTTTTCTGTTATACTAGAGTCACTTCCAACGCTGCTGTATATGAGTAACGTTCTTTTTGTATACTTACTACAAAAAAATATATATATTTTATATGCCATTTATTGTATTTAAATTCGAAGAGACCGAAACCAATTTTGTAAACCATTCCACAAACAACAACAAGAAACCAATGCGATTTATGCTAACGTATGTACTAAACCAGTAGCAACACTGCAAAAAAAAGGGACAACAACCAAGTTTAAGATAAGTGTTGATCGAGAACAACAACCAGAAGCCAGCGTGTTAATATATGTATGTAGAGTATAGCCCGATGTCGATATTCAGGGGAACAACAAGTGTAGTGACAGGGGCGTTGAAGAGGGGTATAGAAGAAAAGATAAGATACAGCCGTGCATTAACAACAATGTTTATATATGTATATGCAAGTTATGCTTAAAAGTTATAAGAGCAAAAGTGAAGAAAGCTGTGATATATCAAAATCCAAGAAAAAGGCAAACAACAACCGACAACAACACACAAACGATAACACCGACACATAAAACTACAGAACTACAGACAAGCCAATTCGAAACGTGTGCGACCAACAGAAGAATGTTAACAACCTTTCCAAAACCGAGAGCCAGGGGAAATGGAGAATGACCATCGGCAATGGCCAATGATAAGAATTCGAAGCGAATTGTATAAGATCGAATCAGATCCACTAGTAGTTAGCTTAGCGGGATTACGAAGGATGAAGATGGGGAACCAAAGTTTTGAACCGAAGTGTTCGAGTGAAGCAAACAGCATGCGGAATATCTAATATAAGGTATTCCAATCAGGAAGAAAACTGAAGAGAAAGAGAGAAATCAAATGTTAAATTATATATCAATATGTAGTAAAACACACAATTAAGAAAAAAAAAGTGCACATAGCTTTAGATATATGAAAGCAAACCTTTTATTTAAAGTCAATTTCCATTTGATTTGCCATGTTTATGATTTGTGCAAGAATTTAAAGCTTAAATATAAAATAAAACAGAGGCCAACGACCGTTTGTGTGGCATATGCAATATCATTACAATTTAAGACAACCAACAAATATAAACCAATTAAAGCGTAGCAAACAAAATGCATTCAATTGAAAAAAAACCAATAAAAACGTTTGAGATTTAAAATAAAAAGGGGTTTTAAATTATATAAGAGAGGGGGTGGATTATTTTCGCTGCATACTTTGTGGGTGGTGTTATACAACAGGCCAATGGAAGCCGATTAAAAGTACATAATTAAAAATAATAAAAGCGCAATGTCAACAAAAACAGACCACCCACGCTCGCAGGAACTTCCGGTGAGCAACGCAAGCGCTTCAGGATGTTGGGAGCTTTTCTCAGTCCTTGAACTTTTGACCTTGTTTTCTCGCCATCGCGGTTATGTAAGCAGCTGCACGTATCCGCGTTGTTATGCAACTTGTCCACGGATTCTGGGCGCGTGCCATTGCATCTTACCCCTAGCCAGTGGCTCTCAAACTGCAGCGGTTCCGTCGAGCGATAAGAGCCAATTAAGTGGGATTTGCAGAAAAGATAGCGTTGTTGAATGAATGACTGGACGGTACGTTCTTTTTTTGTTATCTGCATTAGCTTTCCTACGACAGACAACCGGCGAAAGGCGTCAGCAGCCCTTGTGTCCACAAAATGTGATGGTTTTGGCCAGGGCCAACCGCTGCAGTCAGCCATAAATATGGCTGATTATGCCACTTGCAGCTGTGACTCGTCCAATGCATGTACAACTGTTTCCCAAAATTCTATTTTAAATGTTTCGTTTATTGATTAGGCAGCCTTTTGACCAGTTTCAGCTCGATTATTGACACATAGCGGTCGCATAGCGTAAGCGTATGAGTAACAACACGAAACGAAGAGTACACGCAAATAAATATCCAAAGGTAACACTGAAAAAAATTACCAAACTTGTTTTTAATTTTAAAAAATTTACCTTTAAACATATTTTTTAACACAGGAATGTATAATTAAATATATGCAGGTAATTTTACATATATTTAGTTATCTATATACATTGTTGCATACTTTCAGGCACTGTTTTAAACGATTTGAAACCTTTTGAGGTTTATTCAATGAAAAAAAACCACTGAAAATCCAAAATTGAATAATATAAAAAAATTTATTAAGAGATATTTAAGCTAGATTCAAATAGACAAAAGAAAACAAAATTAAATGATATTAAACCTGAAAAGCTGAAGGCCAATACCTGCTATAGCTCATGCCCATTGTTAGCATTTAGTTTACAATTAATTGTTAGTAAATATAAAAAATAAATATTAAGAGATACTAGAGATATTTATGGTTCTTAAATAATATACTTTCTTAAATTATATAAAATATGTTGATATTTTTTCAACTATAAAATACTTACTGAAATCAAAAAAATGTTGTATTATAAAAACATATGCTACGAGATATTATTAGATAATATAGAGTAGACTTTAATCAATGGTAGTTCCAGGAAACCTTTTAAAAATCCAGATTGGTTACACTTTCATGGCATACCGTCACCATTACATAGGTATAATATCTGAGTTTTCTCTGGTGTATCTGGCACAGAACCCGGGGGCTTGGTGGGGGACGAATCTCGTGAGAAAAGCTTCGTCGCAAGTGCAGCTAGGAAACATTGGCGTCGGCGTCGTCGCTCGCGAGCTCCCCGTTCTCTTCGGGGCTCTCTCATTCGAGTGCCGCCACAGCCGTAGTCTCGTCGCTTTTGCCGCCAGTTGAGCAGTCGATTTTCGCACGGAGCACGACAGTCGAAAAAATTGAAAGAATCATTCAACAGCAGGAGGGACAGTCGAGAGAAAATTAATTTTTGTACTTTTACTCAAAATCAAACAACACAGTATCGAAGTCAGTCGCCGAAGTATTTGACCAGCTGTGAAGCATTTAAACGAAACGAACCCTTTGATATACGAAAATAAAAACGAAGCAGAACCCTCCGGAAACCAACCACTTGCAACTTTTTCTACACCGTTTTATTACCCAACAGAGGCACACAAAAGGTGAGTGCACGCAGAAGGGGTCACGTCATGCTGCAAGTCCCCAAGTTGTTTATTATGTGTGGCATGCTGCAAGAGTGAGTGTGCTGGGAATGAGTCTTACCACCCACCCATTCATCCACACACTCACATTCACATTCACCCACTCATTCGCTCAGTGTGACGTAACTGTCAGTGTGTGTGTGTCTACCATCTGAGATTGCTCATACGCCGCGTGTCCGAAAGAAAACAAACGCAGCCGGAGCTTCATGGCGAATTTTGGGTTGCTTTTGCCTTAAATCCGCGGGATAAACAAAGCTCAGGGGTTGGCAAACAGTGCGGAAAAAATACACTCATAATTGATCGATGGCAGAATGGTCTAAATTTAGAACCCTTTCGTCCGTTGGGCGCCATCCGGTGCACAAAAAACACCCCTTTGCCCAAATTGATCTGCAGTGCACCGAAAAGAATTTTCAATATATCTAAAGATCAACTTAAAAAATATTAATTAAAAAAAGAACAATGAGTAAAATTCACTAAAGTTAAAATATTGTATCTACCGAATTAAATTTAGTATAACCTAATTTGTTTACAAACATTTTTTATTTAATATGATATTTACTTAAAAGAATTTTTGATTTAAAGATTGAAAAAATATTTTTTTCAAAATAAATTTCCTAAATCACAAATATATAAATATAAGAATGTTGGTGCTCAGCATTTTTTTTATCTTTTTTTAAATCCCTTTTTTCTGAGTGCTTTGGCACATCTCTGGCCGAATGCCCAAAAGTCGCGACTTCACGTGCCTCGGCGCTCAACGTTCTGCGAATTTGGCATTCTGCATTTTGCATTCGTACATCCATGCGCGCTTTGTTTATAAATAAACCTTGAATAATGCCGGCACATTTTCCCTGCTGTCTTTTTGCTGGTGGTTCGCCGACTGTTTTTTTTAAATATATTTTATCTCTATGTCTCGGGTGTTAATTGAGCTCAGACTCTCTGGAACTTACTTTTCTGATGAGCGAGGCGCTGGATTGAGTTTTTAGCATTGCCTGGCGGCGACGTCATTTGTTGCGCTTTTCGAGGTCGGTCGGTGAATCAGATTCAGTGTCAGCCCAACAAGTGCATGTGGTGTGGAAATCGCCATTTATAGTGCAATCATTTCGTATAAATTAGCGGCCAAATGCTTTGAAATTCACCTAACTATTTACTCATTCCATTTTGTCTTATTTTTCAGCTAATACACAATGTTCGCTTTGTGGTATTTAACATTTGCTGTCGATGAAATACGGTAAGTGCAAGGGGATTTTTCTACAGTTTTACAAGTACTGCGGGCCCACAGGGTGGATGAACGTTTTTTGCTGCCTACTTTTGGGCTATGTAGAGTGGGTGTTCATGTAGAATTCATGTAAATTTAGTTTTTGGAGGCGTGATATAATCGTTTTAAGGATTATTTTTAGGAAATTAGTATCTGATTTTTAAAATCGAATACAGGTGTTGGGGTTTTTAACATTTAAATTAAAACAAATGAGCTATAAAATCATTAAAAAATTCTCAACTCAAATATTATAGACTACTTCCCCCAAGAAACCCACTTTTCTTGCATTTCATAAATCATGGCGATAACTTCTGTCGCAACTTCGGTCGCAATCATTGCAAAAGCGATAATCTAATCAGTATCAGTTGATGAATTAGCCCAATCTAGCTCTCCATTTCCGCGCATGTCGTGGGATCGTTACGGGCTGAAAGGTGCTAAATGTCACTATATAGCACAATCTCCCTGCATTTGGCAACAAAGTTAGTCATCTAACATTGTCACATGATGAACTATCTGGCCGTTTCCCACTCTTTTTACTCCCCCTTTCTCGTCGAGCTCCCCCCAACAACCGGCTTTTGCGGCTCTAACTCTCATTCGGTGATAAGTGCAATCGGCTTACCAGCCCATAGAAACCCTCTCTCATTTGCAAATGTGCCAAACCGAATTCGCAAATTTTGGGCAAAAGAAAAAAGTAAATAAGCGTCCAGTTGTTATCTACCGGCAATTAGCGTTATAACGAAAGTGATAATTGAAGTTTGGAGCGGTATTAGTATTTTCCGTTCTCATCCACACAGCCGGCGTTTTGGGCCGGTTTTTTGTGGTCTATGTGACGGGTGGAGCTCGTTTGTTTGCTTATCTATTTGCCGCACGAGTTTTTCGCTATAGCTATTGCCAACTTGGCCTACGTGACAAGAGAAATGACAGCGAAATGGGGGAGTGGAGAAAGTAATTTCGTAACTGGACTCGGGGAAATGGGCGAATTGTGCTTACAGTTCTAAATAACGATAGCTTGGGGGCATCAAAACGTTTCCAAATTTGGTTCTGACTGCCACGCCCTCGAATTAGCTAACGCCCCGTAGTATAATAAAAAAAATAATTTTATCTATTAGGTTGGTTTCTATGGGAATATTATTTTTTTTGGTTACTTTCCATTCTAACAGAACCTTGATCCTTTTTAAGCAAACCCAGAAATTTGTTTCAAATTTAAACTCAATTTAAAAACCAGGGCTATCTAATTTAACGTATCCAGTGTGACCCCATGAGCTACAAACGTAGCACAAAAGAAAATTGAACTAAAAAATAGGAAAATATGATATAATATTAAGGGAAAATGTTTTTTCATATTATTTTGTAATAAATAAATAAATAAATAAATCCCTTTGTTTCCAAGATTGATATAAAATTTAACATTTAAGACCAGGGCTGCTCTAGTTTTAAAATGCAATTGGGTGTGGTCACACTGCTGTCGCTTTCATTGTCCCTTTTACTTTTTTCATTCGTCAAATAAGGACGCGTAGATCGTGATTTAGCTATAATTTTCGATTAAACAACCTTGTGTTCTATTAAAACTAATTGCTATTTATTGGATTTCGACGGTGGGCGGTGCCTACAGTTAAAGGTGGGTAAAATAATTGTGGAACATTCAGACAAAAGTGAATTTTTAATTGTTTCACGCTTCGTTGCTTTCGTTCTGGAAGTTTCTGGAAATTTCCAGTAGAAAAAGACGCTACAGTATACATTGCTTATAGGCTATGTCAGTTTAGAAGCGAATATAAAAAGAAATGATAGAAATTCTTCCCGATTTATTAGTTACGCAGACGTATTAACATTAATAAAAATGCAAATTGTGCAAAATTCAGGCATTTTGTTTAAAAATATGGTGCAGTTGTCATTGGCTACATGCTTTTCTGGACTATTTTACGTGTTTTTACTAAGAAGTGAAGAAAATCCGCAAATCCATAAGTACATTTATTTAATTCCTTTTTTTTCCAAAAAAACCATTAGTCCACAGTAGACACTGCTTATGTGAGCTAAGGCTTATATGTAAGTAAGTATAGAAAATGACTTGCGAATTTGATTTATTTTGCCTATGCATATCATTGTGTATGCATAGTACCATTTTATTATTTTATTTGTAGTGCACTTAAGTTGACTTGCTTTTCTAATTAGATTTTTGTTTATTCTTATTTTTGTTATCATTTACCTTTTCTTTTGTAGCAAACGTTTAGCTTGGTTTTTTAGTTCTAACAAGCCTGCAGCGCCAGCGCTCGACGACAAGCCAGCAAATCCGCCCAAGGAATCTGCACCTGCTCCAGCTCCAAAACCCGCTGTAGTTCCTGCTCCAAAGCCAGAACCTCCGAAACCTGCGCCCGTGGTAGCCAAACCCACACCGGTTCCAGTTCCTGCTGCAGCTCCAGTTCCCCCGAAGCAAGAGGCTCCTGCACCTGCTCCGAAACCCATACCGGAATCTGTGCCTGCACCCGTAGTTGCCCCGCCCAACCCAACTCCTCCGCCAGCTAAACCCAGCAGTCCGCCCAAACAAGCCGACAAGATGCCCATTCCGCTGCCCAAATCCCTGACTGAGGCCAACACCAATGGTCAAAATGGCAATGGTGCGCCTGGAAATGTGGATGAGCGCGTTTTCGGCATCCAAAAGGACGAGAAGGTGTTGCCGACGGCCAAGGATGCCACCAATGACTTCATTAAGGGTGAAACCAATGCCTTCATCCAGTCGATCAAGGAAGCGCAGCAGCTGGGCGAGCGGTAAGCCATTAATCCTTCTGTTTAAAGTTTTATTTCTGTAATGGCTGAGTTTTTATACCCCTTATTTGTAGACCAAAAAGAGTATATCGGTTTTGTATTTGTTTTCTTTAATTTTTGCTTACAGGTAGAAAGAAACATTAATAATATTTTACTATCGCTATCATATAATGATTTTAATGTATACATATCCGTCTTCATAACCTTCGACATTTTAGAAGCTAACTTCAATTCCAAATTTAGAGTCTTCAGACTTTTTATAATCATGTTAGAGAAAGGTATTTTTGTACCCATTAAAATTGTAGATGATCTCCCATCTTAAAGATTTACTCGGTGTTATTGAAAACATACCCATGAGGATAGGCTAAATCTTTTGAAACAGAGGATTAAGCAGCAGATATCTCATAATTGGGGGGCACTCGACTACAGCATACTTCCTCTACTTATTTCTGTAATTTTTGAGTTTTTAAATTTAATTTTTCCGCATCTCCCATGGTGAGAGGTGGGTTCAATGCACTCGGGTGACTTCTTCTCGACGGGCGAAAATAGTTGCCATGCGGCAGAAAGACAACCGCTTGGCGACAACGGTGCAGCATCAGCAAATTCGTTGGATCATCATCATGATGATGATGATGGCTATGGGTGGAGACCACAATTTGCTGTTATTTTTGTCTCATGTTCTCTGCTTGGGCGGACAGCTCGGCTCACATGGCGACGACTCTTTGGGATCTGGTGCTGCATGTGCAGTCTACGGTTTATTTATGAACTCAAACTTCTCCATGTGTTCGGTCTCCACTTCCTCTAATTGCGCACAATTGATTTTCCATTAATATTAATCGGAGACAAACCTTGGGGCACGCAAGCCCTGCCAACTTGCACTTGTCCTTGCCCAGGTGTTCAAGGATCGTTGGGACGGACTGCGAGGCAGGTATACTAGTTTTTGGCAAACTGCCCAAGTGAAATGGAAATGGAATTGGTAATGATGTGGCCGCTGACGGACCATTATGAGACCTGTCGCGTCGCTGTAGTCAGGTCACATGATCTCCCCCATGCAAAGTTTATTTATACTTGGAAACGCAGCACAGTCTGGCTGCTGTGCGGCGAAAATGTACACACATCGCACTAGGTTTCATTGTTCATATGCAGCAAATTAGCCCGGCAGCAGAGCAATATTTGCCTCCTGCTGCGCAGGGATCCCATTTTAGCCTGGCGTCATGCCTCATATCTGATCCGCCTTTGGGCCCTCTTTCATAATGCCCCCTCCTTCCTGATGGACAGAGGTCTTCATTTAGGTGTCTTGTTTGATGTGCCCCTTTATACATATATAATATATATCTATACTTACTATACATATGTACGGATATGTATTTTAAGCACTTGGCTCGCGTCTGTACAAAAAATTGCTTTTGGCAAGCGTCGCTTTTGATGTTCTGCCAAAATATTGTTTAGCAAACAAAAGGCAAGAGCCGAAAACACAAATGAAAAGTTGACAACACGAACAGAGCTTTTAGCATATATGAGTACTGGGTTCTATAGCTTATGATCTGTTGCAATCCACGGATAATTAGCTACTGCTAGTGCTAGAGCACCTCCCCAATTCTATCCCAATTTTAAGCAGTAATTTCACAGCTAATTGCCCGGATAGCGGCCACTGGGCATAAGGTTGAGCTCGTGCTTGGCTGGCCGCAAATTGAACTAATTAATAACACATATTTTAAATGGTTTACTCATGTTTGGCTTTCATTTTTTGCAGCCCCCCAAACATTAGCGCTCCATTCTCGATCGCTGGCCTCCAGAGGGGCCCCGCAATCAGTCAATGACTAAATGTTTTCATAAACATTGCCCACCATTCATATGTTCGAGAATGTTATGCAAGATTTTTCCTATTCGTCAGAGGTGCGGATAAAGATCGCGTATGCGGTTGCTTAGTGTGTAAGACACCGCAACTGGGGAATCAAGCGGGACTTAGCTCATTGCGGGCTCGTCACAGTCAACCCCCAGCTCAAATACTAATCTCTAAAAAAAAAATTTCACAGTTGTGCTTAAAATAAAAGTACTGAAAACTAGGAATGCTTGGCACAAAGAATTTATAACAGTTTGCTATTATAAACTAATTTTATAAGTGAAAATCCTAAAAAGTTATTACAACTTTTAATGATTGAATGAAGCTTATTATCAAGAATCCATTGTATGGAATATTCCTATTGTAATCTCATTTTAGGGAAAGATCTATCATTTTGACCCGGTCTGTCCGTTCTTTACCCTACATGCTAAGTGCTTTCTCAACTGTGTGTCAACAGTAACGGAATCGCCAGTGGCAGCTATTGTATCTACATATCCGCGAGCTTGTTTCGCAAGCTTTTCAAGGTCAGCCCCGTATAGTATAAAGCCATTTCGCTTTTCCCCCACTTGTTAGTTGGGGGCTTAGGTCCATTGTTCTATGCGAAATCCTACACGGCACCAGCCCCCAAAGGCTGCCAGCTGGTTGTCGATGGGTTGCCTGTCGGTGGTTAGAAGCCTTTATGGGATGGAAAAGCTGCTGGGAGCATTTACGTAATCTCAGCGCCACTTGACGGCAGCAATTGAAAATGAAAAGGAAAACAGGCGCGGCTGAAGTGACAGCAGCCACCAAAGCGAAAAATTGAAAATGTCCAAAAGATTCCAAGGCGAAAGCACAGGCGACGACATTTCTGGATTATATAAGACAGCAGGACTGTCGCCTGGCATCCGCTTAATATGTATCAAATATTAATCTGCACATATTTTTGAAACGTATATAATTTTATTGTTGGAATGGCGGTTTTATATGTATTTTTAATGGCCGCCCGTGGAAAATTCGTGTGCCGATGAAAAGCAAAAGTTCTGTTGTTTTTCTAAAAAACAACGCACGTAGACAGATGGGTTAGGTATCGTGTATATCTTCCGATGTTTGCTGCGCGTTGCATAAATTTCGTTGGCAACTTTTCAAATATTTTCCCTCAGTTTTTATCTAGTAACAAATGAATATGTTCTTTTCGATGATGTGTACCTTAGGCTTTTGTATGTATGGGTTAACCAAAAGAACCGAGAATTCAATATCAAGTTCAAGACTTTTGTTAAAGATTGTGTAAACGATTATATTCGATGTGTTTATTTGTTTGAAATGAGGGAAGAAGAAACTGGGGGGAATGGTATAAAATAGGTTTTTGTATTTCAAAATTGTGTAATGGATATTTTAGTTGGCACATCTATCTGTTGAATCTATCACAGCTCCCCCAACTTTGTTTAAATCTTTTACATTTAGCAGCGCAACATATTTCATTTTATACTGCGGTATTAGTGCCAAAAATTTATGACGGCTACGTTTTGTTTTTATTTTGTCTGGCCAAAAACAACAGATTTTTTTCTTATAGAAGGTGTGCATATAAAATAAATATATCGCTTTTTTCGTTACAGTCGATTTCTTGGATGAAAATGTAAAGTTTTTAAAGGTTTTTTACTAAATATTTAATATTAACAATTCAGTTTTAAATCCTCGAAGCAGTAGGTTTATACAAATAGTGAGTAATAATAAATATTTTAAGTTATGCAAGTTCTGATGAATTTTGTCATTAGCTCAAACAATTTGCCTTCTCGGCTAGTTTGCTTCGGATGTTTATTCACCACTTAAAGCTCGGATCTTGTGAGCCGAGTTCCATCCCGAATATTTGAGATTCTCATGGAGGGAGTGACTGGTTTACTGGTGCAATTGTGCCACTTGCCTTGATTACTTTCAACGCATATCGCACCATGTCATATCATTCCGTTCGCTGTCGGCGATTTCTAGTCATAATTAAGCGATGAGACCGCTCCTTCGGCCTGTGGGTGTGTGAGTGTGTGCCGCACATCCACCGAGTGCACCACAAACACATGCACACACTCAATATTTTTGATTTGCGGCTGCAAGAAGTCGCTGCTCCTCTCGGGTCTCTCGCTCCCCCATTCGCATGGAGCAATGCAGTTTTCTAGCTGTTTGCGAACCGAACACTTTCCTTTTCTTTCTTTGGGGGATAAGCTCTCTTATGCTGTGTGTGTGCCAGAGAGAGCTTTACTTTCTGCTTTTTAGTCATACGTCACGTCCTACGTCAATCGTCGGCGGCTACCAATAGGCACTCTTTGTGGGTGCACTGAAAAAAAATGTATGTAATGAAATGATTCATTCAATTAAATATAGTCGAACCTCCTATTTTGTACCAAATGAAAGAGGTGGGAAGCTATATAAAAAGACTAAAAGTAAAGGCATTTTGAACCTTTGTGATGGTATTACAAATGAGGCCCTAACCATTGCGATTAAGTCTGGCGTTAAGTCATCCAGCCAGAAATATTTATTTTCAATCTTAAAATTTCAAAGTAATATGCATTACCTAAAAAAGTTTACACAATTCATGGGACAGGGGTGGTATTTGAACTCGGGATAATGGAAATATTATTTTGTACCCTTACCACCTAATCTCACGTCAACATTTTTAGAAATAATCTCGATTTTCTTGACTCACGAATTAATATGGTAATAATATTTACTTTCTATGACTAGGCGTCATACTTAAGAGGTAACAATTAAAAAAAAAATATTTTTTTTTAATTTTGAAAGTTTTTTTATTTTAATCATAATCTAATTTGCGATATACAAAAAAATTTGTAACTATTTAAGGATCGGAAAAACGACTCTTTAAAATTATATGACAAAATAATTTTTAATAACATTTTTAATTTAATACCAAGTTGTTTTTTCCTGTGCATGCCACAGTGCCGGCAGAGAAGCCAGGAGGCTGGCTTCTTCCCACACACACAAACACAAAGGCGGGCCGCAGCTTTTGCTCTCTTTGAATTTAGTATCTGTGAGAATGTTCGTGTTCATGTAGTTTGAAAGTGAAAGAAGGAAGGGTGGCCTCTGCCACGGCCGCAGTCGCTGCCTCTGCCAGCGCTGGCGCTTCTGAAGCACCGACTGCAGTCAGTTGGGTTAAAGAACAGAATATTCCGATCATTGTAACGTTGGACGTTGAATTCTACGGTTGCAAAGGTGAGCCGTTCTCCAAAGATAATAATTGCAAGTGAAATTTCTGCCGTTCAAGTATCTCACAGATACAGTGCAAAAGTCTTAGATTTTAATCTTTAGTTTAAACGTTTTGTGGCACCTAAAAGAGTTAATCGGCAACTAATATTAGTGAATTTCTAGTTAAATATAAATATCTAGTAAGCAATCTTAAACTGCTTTAATAATTTAATACTTCGGGTTTGTGGCCAATGAAAATTAAATTTCCCCCATTTTGTCTTCTTTAAACAGTGAATGGCTCTTAAATTAGCATTACTTATTTTATAGGGGTTTGTATACATTTTCGCCGTTAAATAGCCATTAAAAAGAGTGAATTGATTTTAATTTTTATTGTTAATAGCAATTCAATTGTGTGTTCTTTTTTGAGATTGAATTTTGTATATGTAATTTAATTTAATGGGTGAATAAAATCTTAAGTTTTTGGTCTTTTTGCAAATTTTTGGCAACCCATAAAGTGCAAACATGTGAATCTTCTAGAAGTAAATGGGAACTAAAAGATAAATTTATATAGAAAAGTTTCACATTAATAATTTTAATATTTTACTTTTGGTATTTAATTTAATTAAATTTTCATACATTTTTTTAAATTCTTGAGCCAACTAAAACCATCTTAAAGTACGTTCAAATTAACTTAATCAACTTAAAGTTGTTTTTTTTTGTAAACCATTTTTTGGCAAGTGACTATATAATAATAAATGCATAAAACAAATTATTAAGTAACATATTCCTCTCCGTGAGCTGGTCGATGAGCTTGTGTTAAATTTTCACATCCCCGGTTGAGTCATGCGATGCATTTTTGCAAACCGAAAACCGGTTACCGGCGAAAAGAAATTTATACGGGCGGCTATAGGCAATAAAGCTTTAAGTTTATAGTTATGCAGTTTGAGATTCTTCTTTTTTTTTTGCAATTCGCCAGTCGGTAGCAGAAACTTGTTTGGTATGGCCCTGCTGTCACGGTCTGGCAACCGCTGACGATCCGTCCGTCTGCCGCATTTGTATACCATTTAGTTGTGCAATTTTTTTGCGGCCAAATGCCAATGAACGGAGGACTGTACCGCTTGCCAAGTGCATTGGATAGGTCCAAAAGGGGGGCTCGATGTTTGCGGGGGGCTGCAGTTTAAGGTCGGGCGTTCGTTGGCACTTAGAAAGTATCTATGTAGCGTGTTCCTGTATCGATTTCGATAAGATATTGGCCCGTGTTAATACCGTTCAAACTAAACTGAATGATAGATAAGAGGTGACAAAACGAACATTCAGTTAGCACTTTGCGGGCTTCTTTGGTTTACTATTTGTTTCTCCCTCTTTCATTTTCCACTCCTTGAACTTGCCCACAAACGGCGGCTATAAATAAGAAAAAGTTCTTAGTCGGCAATAAAAAACGTTCATTTTCGCGGTCAATGCCAGGCGGATTGCATAATCACTGATAGGTATTATATCTATATACTTAAGGCAATTAAACCTAGTAGTGCTGGGCAAGCAGAAATCAGGGCAACGCCAATACCAAAACGACAATTATATAAGGGGCCAGTTTGAGAGGCACTGGGCACCTCCGATCGAATTTACCCGGCCAAATTTAGTTCGGGTTGATATAATGCCGGCTGCTATAAATACAACACCGCCAAAGCAAATAAGCAAAACAAAAGCAAAGCACAGGCACACACCGGGGAATACAGATGGATACGGTGGCCATATAGGTAGGCCAAACCAAAGGTACCTTCTAGGCACACCAAAATTCCAAAAGTATATCATATAGGTGAGCAGCTGACAAGTTTACGCGGGGTCTCTTTGTATATGAATTGGGTTTTTTGTATACCATACACTTTGTTATATTCAGCAAACAAATCGCGCAAATTTGTTGTACAAATTGTTTGCCCCTGTTTTTTTTTCTATCTATTTTTCTTTTCCACTGGCACGTTGCTGTTAATTATTCAATTGAGATCCATTAAAGCGCTCGTCTGAATAAGAACGGAAAAGGCAGAGTCGGAAAAAATCGAGCGAGGAGCCCGACGGCCCCGATTAACTTGTCACAAAGCTGGAAAAACCGCATTTCCCGTAGTCTAGATAGTTAACTGGGTAACGCTTCCATTTTCCCTGGCCAAACAAAGGGTTGCAGGTTGCATAATCAAAGCTAAGCTGGGTTGGGTTGGGTTGGGTTCTTTGGCTAGACAGGAAATGGAATCGCACACACATAAATCATTTGAGGGCGCGGGAGAGCTGCTCCCCCCACAGAGTGCCAACCAATCAATTTCGAACAACACCAAGCCGATTTGCCTCGCAATTCATTTAGCCAGTGAATAAACAAATATTTGGAATATCTAAAATTTCAGCGAAAACGTAAACAAATCGAGCAGTTCAAGTTCTTTCGAGGGAGAAGGCTACCCAATATTTTCGAAGCTACTGTTACTGAATGGATTAGAGCTTTTTAGGCTCTCTCTTCAGGAATTTGTCAAGGACTTTTGGGTGGTAAAAGCTAACTCTACAAAAGGGACCTTCCCTTAGGAGAAAGCTTTCTTATTCACTCAATACATGGAAGTAAAAGCTTGGTACATTTCTGTAGAAAGTAATATTCATTTTACTTCCTAGTCATGTAAAAAAAGGGCTAGATGGCGCCACACACCCATGTAGAACGAATGTAGCAAGAAATATTATCAGAAATTTAATTTTGGAATTCTTCGCCTACATTAAAAAAATCAAACTGCATTCCTTCTCTTTTTTTTGAGTTCCCCACACCCCTAAATCTAGAAGATTCCCCACCATATATGCATCCTACTTATAACCCTTTGCATCTCTATATCGTAATGAAGCCTCGTCTGATTTTCGCTGATTGTCTTCCCAGACAGCTCAAATTTAAATCAACGACATCCGGATGGTGACTGCAGCAAATATTTTTTTTCGCCACTTGCTGCTGTGCAAAAAGATATTTTTTCATCATCTTCAGTAGTTTATACATATAAATGTGTATATGCTTATATTTCTCTGCAGTCCGCCTAATTGAGTGTGAGCTGCTTTGACGTTTTGCCAAAAGAATTTTAATTAAATTAGGACCGCAAGAGAAAAAAGTAGGGAGTGATGAGGGGAATCTCATCAGTAAATGCGGGTGACCAGCAGCCCTAATATATATTACCCATCTATCCCTGACTCACCCCTAATAATCCGTACCCCTATCCCCTATTTGGCCAGATATTTATTAATAAGAGCTTTATGTCGAATTCATGTCGCATCCAGCAATATTATTGCCAGAATGCTGCTGGCTGGAATTATTGCCTAGGGAGAGTGGACTTGCCATGGCCATGTCCATGTCCAGATTCAATTAGTGTCGAAATGAGTGTGTGAATGAATGTTGGGCCCACTCATTTGGCTGGGTTATCAGCCATGGCCCAAACTTTCCATTCCCCTTATCAAATCCGATGGTGACCAGTTTTGGAGTGACTGCCCGCCGTTCCCAATTTCCCGTTGCAGTCGCTCACGTCGGCCAATTTCCCGAAAATAAAAATAAAAGCATTAAACATTTCGAATTATTTTCGTACACTTGCCAATTTCTTTGTGCAATCGACTGGCCAAAATCGCAATTAACGAAGGCAACTATTGCAGCGATTTCTCGGGTGAACGACCAGACCAGTCCGTTGGCCATAAACTTACCCACTGCACTAGCCGTTTGCCAATTTCCCCACATTTGATTGCAATATCTATTGCTTTATATATGTATTACCATAAGATGTGATGGCCTAAACAAGCACTTGTGCTTTGGAGAACTGAATTATTTGCTCAAATCCCGGTCTGTGGGCTTATCTTATCAAGATTTCTAATTTGGAAATGATCATAACTGTTTACAATTCGAAGTTTAGAGCTTATCAACTGGCTGGCTTATCTGGTTAGCTCTCCTGGCCAATAGATACACTACTCTCTGGCCTCTCACCAGCTCTCTTTCTCCAGCTCCAGGTGAATTGGTATATGCCTACCGGCAGTCGCGGATTTTCGCTGGCCATTCGCGAATTGTTGCTAAGCCTTGACGGTTGCGAAAAATCCGTGCGTGATATTGTTATAAAACGAAGGCTCTAAGTAGCTCTTAACCAAATACAAAATCCAAATCTAATAAAAACGACTTGGTGACGCGTGTGTGATTAGAGCCACCCTGAAAATGTGCTAGAGCTGCTCGGCTGATCCTGCCTGGGGGTTATCCCATCCTTGTATTATGTTCTCAACCCCTAAAAAGAATTAAAATCCCTTGTCTGTCCGCTGCTCATCAAGGGTTATATAATGAAATCAGTTTTTTTCTATTGTGCGTCAGCTTAATTTGATTTGCTTTGGCATGGCTTTTAAGTGCCGAACAGGGTTTTTTTTTCCTCCTTCATTATGTTTGTATACTCCAGTTTCGGTTTGTCTGTCTATCAGGGCCGGCACTTGAGTTAATTGATTAGTTTCAACGCCTTCCAGACAGGCCAATAAGTCATTACTATTATCTGGCATGATTCGGAGCCACTTAAAACTGAGAAGTTGGCAACTGACGCCCCCTTGGTTTGGGTTTCTTTGGGTACATTGCAATCCGCAAAGCCCCCGGTATCTTTACGAGGCACTAACAAGCCCCAGATTACTCATGTAGAGTGGCTGGAAAACGACTCATATGACTCCCAAATGGTGTAGAAATTTCCACACCGAATCAATAAACACTTGCCATAACGAGGGGCTACTACCAGTTAAAATTGCAAATTGTTTTCCATTCGCAATCAATATTTACAGAGGCACTGCCAAGTGGCAGGAAAAGTAAGTGATCGGCTGCGATTACTCACTGCCCTCCACTGGGTAATTGAAGCTGCAAATGAAATTAGCCAAAACAAAACAAAAGACTGGCTGGGGATCGTAAATGCAATTTTTATTTTCTCAACTTAATGTGCATTAGACATGCAATGAGTGTTTGGGTGATGAGAAATTGGAACCAGTTCCCCAGTTGACTCTTAAGTTCGATTCGAACCCGTCGCAATGGGTTAATTCTCAGGGCCCAAGTGCCCGTGTCCTTGTCCTGGGAATCCAGCAAGCTGTCTGTGATTTCCATTTGCCGAGTAATTGATTTTTTTTTCCTTTACACACTTAAGAGGGGTTTGTTAAGGTATAGGATAGGGTTCCTGTCATTACCAGAGCACATTTCACACTCCAGCACGACACTTGAAGTTGACTTGACCGCCCGGGTGGGCTGGAGGCTCAACAATTTCCAGCTGCCAGTCGCGTGCTATAAACTTTATTGATTCGGAGGGGGAACGGATTGGGTGGTTGGTGGTGGGTCCAGCGCATCGTGTAAATATATCCTTCCGCATTATGTTGCCGCTCATCCGGCAACAGTTTGGGCCGGCGCCTGCGGGTAGGCAGTGCTGCTGCTGCTGCTGCTGCTACTTCAACCCTCCAACCTCCGGGATCCGAACCTCCCCGAAATAACCGAAAAATATACTACTTCGATTGAGAGCGAACTCCGCCTCTCCTTGCTCGAAACTCCGGCTAAAACTCTCCCAGCTGAGCGCTGAATGCGGCGGCCCAATAATGCCGGCGATAAAGTCTGCGGGTCCTTGGGTGCGACGGCTCTCAGTTCCTTTCGATTTGCCGATTCGGTTTGTTCGTCCTCTGCCGATTGTCCCACGAGCCAAAGGCGCGCGCTAAAATATATCCTGAAGAGCAGGATATATGGCCGAGCAGCTCCAGTAGTCAGCCAGCCGAGCAGCAGTCAGCAAGTCCTTTGCTCCCCCAAAAAATAGCAACGCGTAGTGTTTGTTTAGTGTAGTATACATTTGGGCGCGGCAGCAGCGAAAACCAAACTCGCAGGAGTCTCTCGATAAAATCACATAAAGGATAAAGATAAAATTGTTGCGTCCAACATTTTGATACCAACGAAGAAGACCACCATTATAAAAAATATAATATACTGAAACGAGAACCAATCAATCCAATCACCGAAAATCAAAAGCAATAGCGTTAAGCCTGTCTGAGAAAAGAGAGTGTGCGTGTGTGTGGTGTGCTGTGCAAAGAGGATCCCCCCCATATAGAGATCCTTTTCGAAGAGCTAAAGCTGCATTGTGATTTCATTTTACCTGCAAGAGCAACCAAACAAACGAAGATTGGTGTTTTTTGTTCTATATACAAAACAAAACACCGACTTTGTGACCAAGCCAACGCCAAATTTTTAAACGTTTTTTGAAAACTTTACACCAAACTCTACAACAAAAAAACCAAAACCACACGTAAAATGGGTCTCTGCGCCTCCAAGGACAAGAAGGAGAAGGTGATCGAGGGCGAGGTGGCCAACGGTGAACCCAATGGCACCGCCACCGCAGCCGGAGCTGGAGGAGATGGGTGTGTATCCCGGGGTTCCGGGACATTTTAGCTACATTCGTCCTACGACTCCTAGACCGGAGTTGTCTGTATATCCTAATGGGTGGTTGGGAGGGTGAAGGGTAATCGCTGACGTCATGCGTGTGTGCAAGTGCGTGAGCTCCTCTCTGTCTCTGCAAGCGCCCAAAAATAGTGCCATAAAAAAATTATTATTGCCCTGGTCCTTTGGTTTTGTCCAGGACTTTGGCTGGGTCGCCATGTTGTTGTAGTGCGCATGTCCTTCGCCAAGAGGACGGGGGAAATGTATAGTGTGTGCCGTCGATTTGCGTATTCAGCGGCAGCCGGCAAAATTTTATAGTCAGTCAGTATAGCCACCACCAAAAGCAGAACAAAACCCCAGCCACCACCACTACGAAAAAGGGGCGTTGTGGGCTCAGGAGGTGATGGGTGGGCATCGGTGGGTATATGTGGCAGTCGCGTGCCACAGAACCAAGTCGGGTATGAGCACATGGCCATAACCCGAAACTAATTGCGGGGCAAACAGGCCGGAATTGAGTTGAAAACAGAAAACAGAAACGGGAAAACATGTTGCCGACTTTTGGGCGCCACAAAACGAAGATAGCCAGCCCCATAGCAATAAAAACTTGAACTACCGCCCTAGCCACGCCCTTTTTACTAATGGTCAACTCCCCAACATTTTCTTTTCCTTTCAGCAAACAAGACACCATGGTTGATGCCGCTGTTCTCGCTAAACTGGAGGAGGGTTACGCCAAGCTGGCTGCCTCCGACTCCAAGTCGCTGTTGAAGAAGTACCTGACCAAGGAGGTCTTCGACAACCTGAAGAACAAGGTCACGCCCACCTTCAAGTCGACCCTGCTGGATGTGATCCAGTCTGGCCTGGAGAACCACGACTCCGGCGTGGGCATCTACGCCCCCGATGCCGAGTCCTACACAGTGTTCGCCGACCTGTTCGACCCCATCATCGAGGACTACCATGGTGGCTTCAAGAAGACCGACAAGCACCCGGCCTCCAACTTCGGTGATGTGGCCACCTTCGGCAACGTTGACCCCACCAACGAGTACGTGATCTCCACTCGCGTGCGTTGCGGTCGCTCCATGCAGGGCTACCCCTTCAACCCCTGCTTGACCGAGGCCCAGTACAAGGAGATGGAGGGCAAGGTCAGCAGCACCCTGTCCGGTCTGGAGGGCGAGCTGAAGGGCAAGTTCTACCCATTGACTGGCATGGAGAAGGCCGTCCAGCAGCAGCTGATCGACGATCACTTCCTGTTCAAGGAGGGCGACCGTTTCCTGCAGGCCGCCAACGCCTGCCGCTACTGGCCCAGCGGCCGTGGCATCTACCACAACGATGCCAAGACCTTCCTGGTCTGGTGCAACGAGGAGGACCATCTCCGCATCATCTCCATGCAGCAGGGCGGTGATCTGGGCCAGATCTACAAGCGTCTGGTGACCGCCGTCAACGAGATCGAGAAGCGTGTGCCCTTCAGCCACGACGACCGTCTCGGCTTCCTGACCTTCTGCCCCACCAACCTGGGTACCACCATCCGTGCCTCCGTGCACATCAAGGTCCCCAAGCTGGCCTCCAACAAGGCCAAGCTGGAGGAGGTTGCCGCCAAGTACAACCTGCAGGTGCGCGGAACCCGCGGTGAGCACACCGAGGCCGAGGGCGGTGTCTACGACATCTCCAACAAGCGTCGCATGGGTCTGACCGAATTCGATGCCGTCAAGGAGATGTACGATGGCATCACCGAGCTGATCAAGCTCGAGAAGAGCCTGTAAATTGCCCGCCAACCGCCGAGCATCGTCCCCCCGCCTGGTCAGGCATTCTCCGGAGCTTAACATCTATCTGAAGGAGCCACCAGTGCGGGGCACACGCAACAATCAACAACAAGAAGAAGAACAACAGCAACACTTAGAAATCTTCGGCTCGTCCGTCTTGTCGCTTTTGGGCGGTTCGGGCTGCAAAAAAGTCTAGTTTGTAGCGATGGTATGGAGCTGCTGTCCCAGCCTCTGGCGACCTTCGGCATTTTCGTATACTTTGAGGGTTGCGGGCGCAGGCAGCGATCCCATCTTGCAACACCAACACCACCCACAGCAGCAGCAACAACAAAGGATAACTATTTGACAGAAAACATTTGCTTAATTACAACCAAACAATGTAAAACATTTTGACATCTGTGTCAAGCAAAAACAAAAAAAGGAACTTTAAATACTTTTATTTTAAGTCTTAAGTTTATAAAAGAATTAAAATTATTAAAAAATAATAAAAAAAAATAAAAACTCAACGACTGTGTTGTCTTGAATGGTTTAGGAGGATAAAAAGCAATCATAAAGTGCTGGATATCATTTATAAGGAATCTGTTTAGTTGCTTTTTTGCAATAATTACAATATAGTTTTAGAAAAAAATTCAACATATTTCAAAAATAACCTCTAAAGCTTTATTTTTGAGTGGTTCGTTAATCAGAATTTAAATACTTAAATTTTAAAAACACATTTCAATGTTTTACATCCGAGATAAGACAGCCTAAACGTCAATGTGTACTCCCGACTAAGAATTCCTTGCCTTACATTCGGCTTCTATGAGGACCTTAATCCCGTCGTGCATTTCCTTGATAATCTCGTATTCGGTGAGTCCCATTCGCCGCTGGTTGGATATATCGTGAACTCCGTCCTTGGCCTCCGAATGCTCCCCCGACGTGCCGCGGATTTGGAGGCGGTACTTCTCGGCCAGCTTTTTCATCTCATCCGGTTGGCACATAAGACTGGGCAGCCTAATGTGGACCGAGGCGCGAATGGAGGTGCCCAGGTTGGTGGGACAGAATGTCAGATAGCCCAGGCGTTCATCCCTGTTGAACTCGAGCTGCTTACCGAGGGCCTCCACGCCGCCCACCATGCGATCGTAGACCTTGCCCAGATCGCCACCCTTCTCCATCGAGATGATGCGTATGTGGTCCTCCTCATTACACCAGACCAGGAAGTTCTTGGTGTCGTTTAGGAAGATGCCACGTCCGGTGGGCCAAAAACGAGAGGCTCCAGCGGCTGCCAAGAACCTATCGCCCTCTTTAAACAGAAAGTGGTCCGCGATTAGCTGCTCCTGGACACACTTGTCCATTCCAGTCAGTGGCATGTATTTGCCTTTGTATTCCCCACTAAGGGTCATCACCGCTCCACAGATCTTGCTCTCCAGCTCCCCGTAGTCCTGCTCCGTGAGGCAGGGATTGAAGGGGAATCCCTTAACGGCTCTTCCGCAACGGACCCGAGTGGAAACGATGAAGTTACCGTCGGGATCCAGGTTCTCAAAGTCCTTGCCCTTACCAAACTTGGTCGCCGGTTGCTTATCCGTCTTCTTGAAGCACTTATGGTAGTCCTCGATTAGGGGATCGAAAAGATCAGCGAATACCTTATATGCCTCCGGATCGGGGGCATAGACACCCATGCCGGAGTCATGATTGCACAGTCCTGAGCTGATGCAGTGCATCAGGGTGGAGTTGAAGGAGGGAGTTGTCTGCGTCTTCAACTTCTCGAAGATCTCCTTCGTCAGATGCTTCTTCAGCAGCGACTTGGACTTGGACTCGGTCAGCTTCTTGTAGCCCTCTTCCAGTTGTTTCAGGACTTCCTTGTCGATCTTACCCCCACCTTTGCTGGCATAGCGACTGATTGCTAGGTGCGTACAGAGACCCAAATATCGAAGTTCCAGCCGGGTTTTAAATTTTAACAGCATTTTTTGAGTGTTGAATTTCGAATGAATCAAATCAGGGTGGCCCTAGTTGTCAAGTGACACTAAACCAAAAGCCTCAAATAAATGTACTAAAGAAAACCACAAGATATATCTTAAGCATACTACTAAAAATAGTCGGAAGGTAGGAAACTTCGATACAAGCTGTTTTTTTAATGTAGAAAGCGCAGATATAACATAACTTTTCTATACCTAATCAATTTGGTGCTTAAATTACAAGATCTTAAGTTAAGGCAGGACGAAAAAAAATTATTTCATTTTTTAGACAAGTTTGAAAACTTTAGAAATAAGTTATCCCTTTCCTGCTAATATCTAAAATATATACTTTTGTTGCACAGTGTAATCGTTAGCAAAGTTTCAAGCCAGTGTATGTATACATACATGTCTTATGTAAAATGTATGTCAATTAATTTAGGACACAAACCATATTTTAAAATTTTTCAGAAATCAAAAGAATCAAGCGTTGCCACTGAAATGTTTAGATGTATCAAAATCTAACAGCACTGTTAAGATGTATCAAAATCTAACAGAATTGTTAAGATTTTTCTTAATCTTTTTTCTAAATCTTAATATTTCTGTTAGAAAACGTTGCATATTAACATTTTATGAAGAGGAAGAACACATGGCGCCTTGATTCAAAAATATTGAATTTTTAAGCTTTGTAAAAGTGAAGAAATTGTTATGCCTTAAAATTTAGTGCTGCAAATCATAGTTAAAATACTTAAAACAATAAGGTGTGTTAAATATAATAACTTAACACAAGCCACCTCGACCTGTTCTCGTTCGCACAATTTAATTTAATGTTTGCAAGCTGTTGGCTCGTAAAACAGAGAACGACAACATTTTTATAGCTTAAAGCTTAAATACCAAATCAAATATATTATAATTAGCAATAAAGAACAACAAAAGCGGCAACAACAACGAGCTAACATGTGGCGCAAATAAAATTCAGATCCGAACGGCAACACCTTCTCAATAAAGCATCGTTATCCTCATTATCATTATCAACAGCTTTGACCGCAAACCGGATTTCGACTTGGTTATATATGTAGGTATGGACCAACCTACACATAAAAATTCATTAAGTATATTAAAACAAGCGCAAATTACAAATGCAATATGTGAGCGTCTCCGATTTCCATTTTTATCTCATAATCTACGAATTTTGACGCTTTTTGCCACCGTTTTTTCTGAAAAGAAGCCAGCCGCGAATCAGCAAAAAATAAACCTAGCATTTAAAAAACACTTCTGAAGCACAGACGCCGACAAGATTTTATGTTTGTTTTTTTTCCGACCCCTTTTGTTTTTGGTGAAAACGTGCAAAATCCCATAATTTAATTGTTTCAACATTTGAGATGTAAATTTATGCGCCAACAAATCGAATCGAAGACGAGGAGAAACACAAAGCGCTAATACAAAACTAAGCCCAAATTAGTCAAACCAGCTTGAAACGCGGCTTCGTGTGGCGGGTGAATTATTTCGCGCTGCCTCGAATTACATTAGGCATAATCTATGCAAAGGTTTCTATGAATGGAAGATCGGTTTTCGGTTCGAAATGGTCTTTGAACTATCCGCTTGCGGGGAGACTGGGTCGTCGGGGCTAGAAGTTCTTTGTGGTCCATCTTCTGGCTGCACTTAAAAACTTAATTAAAAATATTAAACACGAAATGTTTGGCGCCACCGTTTAGGAAGCGCTCAGAAGTGGACCGTGGACCGCACACATCCACGGTGCGCCGAGTTATCAGCTCAATTATGCAAGCTGAAAGGCAGCCGCCGGCCCACAGACAGATTTGTCGCATTTGACACGATAATGCACACAAGGAGTGACCACACCAAAGTCGCTCCATCCGACTCGAAAGCGGCTTCTTGGCCGGCTCCCACTTCGTTTTGGCCTGGCCAATGGCCATAAAAGGTGCGATAAAACGAAAATTTCACAAGACGGCAGCAGCAGCACATGCACTGAACGAAAAGTTGTTGCGTATTAGTCAAAGAAAAAATTTATTTCAAATTATTAAGTTGTTTGTATTTCCTGTTTGATGCATTCAAAAGAAATTTTTTTAAATCAAATAGAGTTTGATATTTGGAAATTAGAAATGCATACCTACACTTTCCGTCAAAAAATCAACATTTCAATATTTTTGCAGTTACAGCTTGTTGTAGTTCTGGTATCGATTTTTAAATTGTTTAAGACGTATCTAATTTTAAAGCTGCTTAGTATAGTTGATTTGTGATGAATTGTAACCAATCTGAACTAAATTTTTTGTAAGTATAGGGCTCACAATTTTTAAACCTTTAAATTTTTTTGAAAAATGTGTATTTTTTTTAGTAATTTATAATAATAAATAAGTTAAATAATGTTATTATTAATCTTCTAATTCACATTTTTAAATAATGCTGAAGAATTTGGTATTAATAAATTTATAACGCTTTTCATTTTTCTCCTCAATTTTGAATAAGAATCAAAAGATATAAATGATTTTCTCCGTGTAGCCACCTCTGCGTCATCTCCAGCTTGGTGGGATGGGGCTAAAATCGCAGGGGAGTTTGTTCGGCAAAGACCAAACGGCCTGAAAGCCGTCAAATCGCTGCTCATAATGGACGCCTTATCTTTCGAGAATTGCTTTAACTACTACCGGAGTTGGATGTCTTTCAGATACGTGTGGCGGGAGTCGAGAATCGAATGGTCAGCATAATGGAGAGCATTAATTTGTCTTAGGCCCGCCAAAGCGGTCGCAAACAACTTTTGGCCCAGGCACTGCGAGATACCGCCAAACCTGTAAAAACGGAAATGCTGAAGGTTATCTGACTTCCCCCACGCCAAATAGTTTTGCATTTTTTTAGATTTGTTTATTTTGGCCAAAGACACTTAAAACGAATTAACAAAGTATACGATTGCAGCAGGGTTCTTAAACGATCTTATAGGTAGAATACAGTAGCTTACAGAGTATATGCACACGTTTCTCACTAATCACAACAGAAGATGACTCCAACTTAAGTAGATTGTTTTATGATTTTGTTCAATAGGCCAAAATGGCTGAAATGCTGAAGCTATTTCTTTTGGTGGAGGTTGAAGGCCTTGGTGATGTGGTGGGTGTGCTGGAGCCAACTGGTTGTGATGCCACAGGACTAACTGGAGCTGGAGTGGGCACAAATGTGGCTGGTGGCATTGGTAGCACCTGAGGAGGAACTGCACCAAAGTAGGCAGCTGCAAAGTTGGTCGGCAATCCGGGAGCTCCACTGGGTCCATAGCTTAAGGGATGTCGGAGATACGGCGACATGGAGCTGGGTGCTGGGTGTGCTCCATAATAAGCTGGGGAAACGCTGCCCGTTGAGTCCTGCTCAAAGTCCTGGCGCTGGCGCTTCGCCTGCGGAGAGTCACAGCTGCTCACACTGGAGCCATCGTCCTCCGACTCCAGGCTGGAGTTCCCACTGCTGTTCATCTTCCTCTTGCAGCGTGACTGACCCGTCTCACGGAAACCCTTGGCGAAGGGATTGTTGTCGATCTTCAGTTTGGTTATGCGATCGTTCTGGAAGAATTAAAAGAGATTTAAAAGTTAATATGTGATCATGAGATGAATTTACAAAAAATGTCTCTTTAAAACTATCTAAAAAATTTCTTTAAGAAAAGAATATACACATAATAAAAGATAAAAAAAATCTTTTAATAGGAAAAAATGTACACATAGTAAGATATCTATACAGAAGATTTTAAAATTTTTAAAGAAAACGTTTAAAAATGTATCATTTTCAATCAATTTGGACCCCAAAAAAGAGTATTACAGTAAGTTTTAGTTCTTGAATGAGTTTTAAAAATGTTTTCGGGAAGATTAAAATCCAATTTGTACTTGATAAGTACTATTTATAATAGTGAAAACCGATCTGTATATTTTCCGTCTGACAGAAATCTGATCTACGAGGCGTCAGTAAGTAGCCGTCTGCTGGAAAGCACTTGAAAAGTTCCCCCCGCGAGGAACCCAGTTAGGATCATCTCAAGTGCCTGGCGAGGCGACAAATTTGGAAATGCCTCAATTAGCAGACGACCCCCGCGGAGTCTTTGTCTCGTCAAAGATCCTCAATGGAGGAAGATGAGGATATGGTATGGTCTGGAACCCACCTGATAGGCCGTGACAGCTACGAACTCCGTCTCCGGGAAAACGAACGCCTGCTGAGGAGCCCAAGGAAGCTGGGTGAGCTCGCTGCTGCGGATGATGTGCAGGCGTGGCTGGTACTTATGCATGCTGGCCAAAACGATCTGGAGGAGGAAATGATTATGATAAGTTACCCATTTTAACAGAGTTTTTAGGAGATTTCCCAACTTACATGTCCGCTGCTGTCCAGGGTATTGTTGGTCAATTTGACCTTGTTGAAGAGCAGTGCCTGGGACTGCCAATGGGCACCGGTGGCCGGGCTATCCGGATGCAGGTACATCCTCTGTGGGCTCTGGGGCTCGGCTCCTCCGGCCGGAACCCACTGGGAACCGGAGAACTTGTAGCGACAGTCGCCAATGGGCACCATCTCGAGGAGCACGCAATAGCTGGCCTCCTCCTCCAATCCGCTGAGCGAAACCCGCATCGAGGGGAACATGCGTCTGCAAGAAGGAAGAGAATAGGACTTGATTAAGTGGCCTGCCACGAACTGCATATAAATCAGGGAGGAAGGTAGCATCGCCAAAGGAGGCGTCGCCCGTTCATCTATTCTATTTTACTTTATTTCGCCTTTGATTTGTGGTCCCGGTTAACAAGTGTGTAATTATGGACCCAAAGGCGGGCAGCGGGGAGTCTGACTCGGAGGTGAAGTATTGCTCGGCATAGCACATCGCATCGATTTAAAACGTAACGCAAACAGAACTCAAAAGATCCCAAAACAATATGCCACCGGCAAATGATTAATTGTGCGGCAAATCGGTGGATCGAATGGCAGGGGAGCTACAGCTTCTACAGCGGGGGAATCTGGCGCCAAGCAATTAGACAAAATCTGGGAGTCGCCCTAACGGCTTCCAAGCGTCGAATGCATGTCTAATGAGCCGAGAAAGTGACTGCCATAGCGGATTAAGCCACACAGAAAATAATGTTTATCATGTATTTTAAGAAATATGTTTTTGAAATTTATCACATTAAGATATTTTACATAATATAAGAACCAAATGTTTTTGAAAAATAATAAAATAAAAGAAAATATCATGATATTTTTGAGAGAAAACTAATCCTCCAAACATAAACTAAATAGAAAATAATGAATTTTTCCTTCAAGAATTATGTTTTTATAAAAGATATAAATTTTATGAAAAGTTACTTTATGAGAGCAATGACATAAAAGAAAAACCCATGATATTTTGATATTTTTAAGACAGTTTTTATGCTCAAACTTGTTTTTTTTCTGAGTTTTTTCCTGTGTACCTTTGCAACTAAACTTCGTGTTCAGCTCATAATTATGTAAATTTGTCTCGGCTCCCGCTCGGTAGTCGCTGTTCGATAGTTCCCCTATCTGAGATATCTTAGGGTCTTTTCGCTCCAGAGAAGGGTCAGTGAAGGGAAGGAAAGGGCACCACAGGGCAGGGCATTGTGGGCAAAGTGTGAAAAGCGCAGGTAGATCGGACAAACTCGATTGTCAACGCCGAAACCGAAAGAAGAAAGATTTTTATGATCGGTCCGGCGCCAGGGCGGCGTCTTCCTCATGTCTTCTCCTCCGCCGGCTACGCTCCGCACTTGTTGTCACTCGGAGCGAGAGCTCCTGCTGCGTTTTGAATTATGGCCAGGCGCCACATTAGGACCGGAAAAAATTGAAAGGTACAGGGAATGGGCATTGGGATAGTGAAAAACTAACCCTGGGACAGGAGCAAATATTTACATAGGCCGTGCGTTGCACTTGACTTTGGGAAAACTCGGGCTATTTGCATAGGATAATGGGTTCGCGGGAAACTTACCGGCCGCTCTTTGTGATGATCATCTCGGTGCCGATTTTATGGAACTGCTGCCACAGATCGTTGTTCTCCAACTTGGCCTCCACGCCGGGCAGGGTGGGGCGGCTGGGCAGCATCATTTGCGGCTGCTGGTGGTGGGGCATGTTGAAAGGCAGCATCGATGGGAAGGGATCTGGAAGAAGCGGTTTGGTTGGTTCATTAGTTTGGCACGGACTTTGGATAGATGTCTTCAAGGAGGTGGTACTCCGATAAGCTTATTTCTAGATTATCTGCTTGGTCTTTGATGGGATTTAACCATCCACTGTTATAAAACATATCAAGACTAGATCACATCGTCTTAAGTACTATTAATAATCAATTCCTAAAGTAATCTTAAAGATTCGATCTCTTAAAAACAATAAAAATATCTCTGTTGCAAAAATGTTGTTGCATTACTATAAAAATAAAATATACTACAAAATCTGTTTAGATAGTATTTTATAGTATCCAATATTCTCATATATTTTAATCATTACTAAAGTCTTATAAAAAAAACTGATATCATTTTATATCTATTTTTTAACCAATCAATGAAAGTAAATAGATGACAAAGTCTTGAATAATAATATCTAATAACATCAAACCCCCTATTTCGTAGTTTTTAAAAATGACAAAGCCATTTGCCGACGGCACTTGATCCCCATCTAAAAACCTTAGACGAAAACCCACCTGGAATGCGCTGCATGATCTGCTGGCGGTAAATCTCGTGGGCCAGCTGCTGCTGCATCCGCATATCCATTAGCTCTTGCATGGAAAGCATTTCGAAACACTTGCACGGGGTATACGAGTCACTCGGTAAAATGTGTCTGGGTTCTGATATGATATCTTATGATATTGGGTATTCTTCACTTCACTCGCTCGCCACTGAAGATGCGCTCTGGGGTTCTTTCACGCTCGACGTTTCGCAACGAACTGATCTCGAGTTGCTCCGCTCAAGTGCTAACTCGCCGGGGCTCGCAGCCAGTTTTTCCCGATCTGAGATGCCGAGCTACCTGCTCTATAGGAAAACCGGTTCTCCAGGAGGTAACGCCTGTGATTGGCCGACTGAAGACGCCTACGCAATATGGTTTCTATGGTTATCCCGCTCTGGCGAAGATCGCCGGATCGGAGGAGAGGTCGCCATTTTGTGAGCAGGGAGCGGGAAAAGCGAGCTGCGTCCAGTCGAGTGGCGAAGTTAACGCTTAGCCCTGTTGATTTTCATCAGCCGCAGTGTTTTTCTGCGCCACTGCCTCGCAACATTCCCTGTCTCCCTCTCGATCACTGTCAGTTAGGGGACTTGACTATATATACCATCCATACTTTAGTATGGGTTGTGGATATGGCGTTGCCTGTAATTCAGAAGTGAGATTTTCCACAGCGCGCCTGTCTGCTGTCTTCAGCTGCCGTTGCCTTTTCTTCTCCTTGGTTTTTTGTGTTTCTTTTCATTTTTTTTTTTGGCGCTGTCGGAAAATGTCCATTGCCATTTCCATTGCAGCCGTCTTCCGTTTGGGCCCGTCTCACCTTCTTCTTGTGCCTTCCCCCGTGTAATTAGCTGGGTTCGGTTCCCTATCTTCGATATCGTCTGGCGTTTCTTGGGTATTTATGTACTTTGCTGCAGACAGGTGAAACATAAATTTTGTTGGCTTTGTTAATTGCCCGTTTTGGAATTTCGATATGCCCTCGCTATTGATTTGCCAGCCGATGCGTTGGGCTAACCCAAAATAAAGGAAAGGAAAACCATGGTACACCATATAGGTACATATGTAGTTCGAGGGTCTGGCTCGAGGGCCTATTGATTAGTGCTTGTCAGCATTGGAAATTACTGCATAAAGTGCCTGCGGGTGGAGGTGGATGGAAATGCACATTCCTAGCACCCACAGGAAGTATGATAATTGCTATTGAACGAGCTATTGATCATTAAGAACGCATTTCAATGAGTCACACTTGTATCTTGGGATTATCTCTAGAACTTCCTTAAAGTGTTGCACTAAGGACCTTGGATTTTTTGAGGGAAATACAACTAATTTAGTTTGTTTCCAAATAAAATGAAATCACTCAACCACACTAAATTTTAGATATAACTGGAAATGCTATTTCAACTAAAGGGGAATTACCAAAATTTGTTTTTAGATTGTAGTGAAGGTAAAACATTTATGAAATATGTGTCAATGGATTACTTATATTTTTTTTGATTAGAAAATGTTACTATCTATAATGTTTATTTGCACTACAAATATGATCTAACGTAATATGCAATTCTCAGTGAAAATAAAATATTTATAAAAGTTAGTCCAGTTCCCAAATAATATAGAATGAACAAACGGTATCTCATCTTTCGGAATTTTTTTTTAGTTTTAAATAATCTTCTTTCAAGGCTGAAGTCTACCTAGTACCTTTATAATGCCATTGATCTTGAACCTGATTTGTTCCCCAAGACCATTGCAATTTGCAACAGACCAGATCTGTCAAATAAAAAGGGCAATCCAATGACAGACATGCGTTTATCCCTCGACTCGTCGTCAGCAAATAATTTCAGGCTTGAGTTCACCGCCAGTCGACTAGAAAGAAAGTCTGTGTCGAAGAACCTCTATTAAATTAGCATTTCGCTGTCGTTCGGCACGCTCTTCCGAATAATGTCCATTCCCATGTCCCAAGATCCATCCGTCTCCGGATCCGGACGAGACGGCATATCGCCGGTGCTTAGCCAGCTGACGATGATGATGATGATGACTTCTCGCTGCGAACGGCGCCAGAAAATCGTAAAAATATTTTTATACAAATATCGGAGCAGTTAGAACAAAAGATTTGATTTGGAATCGTAAACGAAACGCTTCACGCCTTTAGAAAGACCGACAAAGGGATGTCACACAAAAGACGGTAGTCGCAGCTGGAAGATGCAAAGAGATCTCTCTTTCTTTAGATAATGTATATCTGTGACCCTTGGATAACTCAGGTGTAATTGCGTCATGCGGCCGTAGGAAAAACTAGATCGAAGTAGGAATGAGAGACATAAGTTGACGCGACATCGGCACAGCCCACAAAATGACCACGTTCCGAGGATCTCTGGGATTCCCAGGGACTGGGACAGAGACAGGTCGTTTTGCGGTGTGTCCTTCGCTGGGTGTGAAGTGTCCCGTGGGCGGCGGTATCCTTAGTTGCTTGAGATGTTGCCTACGCCTTACCTGAGCCCTCTCTGTCGTCTGTCGCCAATTGAAGTAATAATTTTCTATTGTCCTGCGACGCGCCTTCCCATAAAGCAAAGGACTTTCGGAGTCTTCAGAGACGCGACAAGTGGCTGAGTTCCCTGCGCTCAAGTAGTCGATGGCGCCAGACGATCCAAGTCCCTCGGCCAGAGGATATCTTTGTGAGCCCGCTATCTGCCGCCTTGGATCTGCAGATGCTGAACGGTAGCGGTCAAGCTGCCAGAGGTTGACAACGACATATGTACGTTCGTGCCGGATAAGATTGGACCAGAGCTGATTACCGAAAGAGGGAGGGGGCTTGGATTTCGATATACGGGTGGACGGAAGCTCCCGAGCAACCCACACAACCTCTGGCAATTAACATATAACCGACGATCAAAATGACCAGCCATATTCATATATTAAAAGACCATCAGTTTATAAATGCCCATAATCATTGAGACAGGTTACATTTCCCCCCAATTCGACAGATCAATAAATCATGGACAACCCTAATTAACCAGCTCGCAGCCATGGAAACCCGTGTGTCACCTGCCTGGTAGATGAGAAGATTGTAAGATCTGGAAGATCGTGAGCTGCCAAAAGTACAAGTTACACATAATTTACCACAGACAAAGGCAAATGTCATAAAATAATATAAATGATATAAACGACACTGTCTGCGCCTAATAAGACAGGGCGTGGCTTTAAGACCCATCCCAATCCAGAGTCCGAACCTAAAAATCCTGGGAAAACGGTATGGGCATAAAGATGCAAACTACACGATAAAGTTAGCTGGTTAGGCGCCTGCAACTAAATGCTAAACGAGTTAACCCGCTGATAGAGATCTTCTCTGTTTTTTTGTATCCCCCCGCTTCTTCTGATTTTTTTCCTTGGGTTTTTGGTAGATACTAAGGTGCGTCGAGAGCATCATTAAGGCAGGAAGACGGAGGTAACTCCGGGACTCCAGACCACAAGCAACGATGATTTAATTTTCCATCACGCTTTCTACCGCGCCAGCATATAGTTTGGGATTTAGCTCTTTTTGAGTTTCTGTATTCTGTATTGGGTTTTCGGTATTTCTGAGATGATCGATGGCCTGTCGCTGAGATGATCACTTTCTGTGGCTGCCTAGCGGCTACTAGTTGAGATACTTAACGACGACCCAAGAGGGCGCCATCGGGCCTTATAATTTGTTAAGATGTTTGGTCGATCCATCGATCGATGGCTGGATTGATGGCCCTTTCTCTGCATAATATTTATGTATATTTCTCACGGCGAGAGTTCAGATGCCCAAATGCATTGGATTGGGCGCTCAAAAGTGCTTGGAGCAGGCTTTTTTGGGCTACCGATTATCATCGTAGAAGAGACGCCATCATCGCCTTATCAGCGACTCGGCATCTGGGAAACATTAAATGGCTACTTAAGATACTGAGATTCCCGCCGGAGGTATCGGTTCTACCATATCGATTACCATTCAGCCGAGGGCAATTGACCTGAACCCAACAGAAGTCGAACGGTGTAATCGATACGATCGGCACAATCGTTGATCTTTTGCCAGGCGGAAATTTAGCAACTCTGTCGGCATTTTCAGCCTGTGATCACTGATCACTAAGCTATGATCTATGTTTGCCCCGGGGCCGCTTGCCAATTGCCATTTGCTATTTGCCAAATCCCCTGTGCCCTCCAGATATATCGTATCCACCCATTTCTACCAACTCATCTCGCATGCCGCTCACAACCCACTCGCACTAATTAAAATAAATTCTGTCAGACATTCTCGTTTAATTTTTTCGCGCACCTTGCTTTTTTTGTTAGCTTTTTTGGCCAGACTAATGGAGACCGAGACCCATCGAACTGGCCAAAGTTGAAGCGAGAAAACAAGCAATAAATACGTCAGGCAATACGTCAAAGGCATTCGTCTGGCTGACAGACTGACTGCGCTCGCAACTTAAAATGCACATTATTAATTAGTTGTTATAATTGCATTTAAAAATCCATTAATATTTATAGAATTCATAATAACTAATGAGGCTCGGGTCTGGAGTCCGAACTGGAGCTCCAGCTCCCGAGACGGCGACATCGACGCCTCCAAATGCCAAAACGGTCTGATTCTTGCCCCAAGTTTGGCAATTTATGCGGCCAGCATCGCAATGTGTGGCATATTTGAAGCCCAATCACAAGTTGCCTTTGACAAATTCTCCAAGAATGTGTCTGCAAGATTTTAGGGGATTGCAGCGGGCATATCAACAGGGTAATGGGGTTTGTCACTACTTTAGTAAAAGGATTGAGGAAAAATAGATTTTCTTACTTTTAATATTTTTTTATAACATAAATATTGTTACACTGTATGTTTTAAATCAGTTTCAATCTTCAAACAAACATAAGCAGAAGAGTTTGTAAAAAAAAATATAAAGGGTTCAATATTGTGTACTATAGCATTAGTTATTTAGTTCCGATGTTTCAGCTCTTATTTTACACTTTTTCAAGACAGCTTTTAGTTTTCATCTGCTCCATGAAATTGGCATATCGCTAAGGTAATAAGGTTTGTCACGGCACTATCTATTTTCAGAAAAACTACAGATAGCCAAGGATTTAT